TGATAACAAAATCGGACGATCGCGTAGTGGGAGTCCGATTTGTTTATTTAAAACCGCATTTGACTCAAGTAGGAAATCTAAAAAAGGAAAAAAAACAGTCTCTAGACCTGGTAACCAAATGGGCAAATTCCAAAACTGCTTATCAAGAACATTTTAATTATCTTTGTAATGTTAATCTGATTCTTTGGTACTCCCAAACTTTGAGTAACGGTTGGGTGGACCTTCTTTACAGTATGATGAAAATGAGTTCGATTCAATCAGCGGATTCTTCGAAAGCTTCAGTTTCTTGAGCTTACCTCAGACGTTCCCTTTTCGTGCTGGCTATCACTTTCATTTCGCCATTTTTTCATTTACTCTGAAGGGCTTGGAACTAAGAAGACATTGTAGGTAAATTAGCTGAAACTCACTATCATTTTTAAAAGACCTCTTGTAAAAGTGGAAAGGAAATGAATAGATTCTTGAGGTTTTTTTTATTATACTGTCGTCTGATTTGTTCTGTGTCGCAGAGAACCTATGAAATAAATAAGCTCTTGATGAACATAATTGAGTTGAAACAAACCAAATGAAACGAAAAATCAAAGTCGAATGAAAAGGCAAGCAAGCTTAAACATTTAAACCTCCGAGTCCATTTCCATAACACGAGTAGGGAACAAGATGTTTATCAGAGAGCATGAAAATTTCGCTATGACGCAAAGTGACGAGATGCGTACCCGCTTCAAGGCCAGTCTCTGAGATGGCTGTCGGTATGGCGAAGACGCCTAAAGCAGCCGAAATCAGCAAAATGATCGGAGAGTTCATTATGAACCTGTACAATGACAATGACAATGATATGGATCAGCCTAATTCTTCTTTTAGTGACAGAAGTTTCTAACAAGAGAGAAAGGAAAAAACGAAAAGAACTCTTAGTACTCCTGCCGCCAAGCTACAAAACGATAATTTTGGAATGATACCGTTTTCGCCAAAATTTAGAGGAGGTCATTTTTATAGCGACATCAGTAGTTTGGCCCGACACATGTTCTGAAACTTGTGCCGGCCCTTTTTGATAATACCAACTGGGAAAAGTGATCATAAATGCTTTCCGCAATGCGAATCACAATCATGGTGAATATGAACAAAGACACCTTATAACTTGGTTAACTGTTATTTTAGAGAATAAAAAAAAAAAAAAACAGTTCTTTCACTTGCATCTTTCCTTTAAGGTACCTACCAAACTTTTGCATTTTCGTTTGAAAACACAAACTGTTTGACGGGTTTTCGCCGGTCATCCACACTAAAACACCCGAAAATGATGATGAAAACGGAGACTTTCGAAAGGAGTTTTAAAAATGGAACGTTTTGAAAATTTTAAAACGCTCCGTTTTAGGGTTATCAAGTGAAAAGCTAGGGTGACGAAGAAATGTGCAGATGTGATCGGTTCCAATCCTAAACGTAACATCTGTCCAAGATGGCGGATAACCTTGCGATTTTGTACTTGCTGTTTTCGAGCTGTGTTCATGTCTTCAGCTTGACATCGCCTTGTACAATGTGAAAGCGAACTTAAGACGAGGCCGGGACAGGGATAACATCGTGAAGTTTGCTGGACGGGAACCCGATAAAGAGTTTTGTGTCATCTACATGGCCGAGAGGTTTGCAGTGTTTTGGAACTCGAAAGAGGTCATTTACGTATAATGTAAACAGCATTGGACCAAAAATGGACCTTACGGTATTCCAACCGTTTGAGGTAGTGGACAAGGTATCCTGAATCTTAACAACTTGCTCACATTGTGACAAATAGCCAGGCACACGCAGGTTCCGATACACCGGCTTTGCGAATTTTACACAACATCAAGTCATGTCGAATGCTGTCAAAAGTTTTAGACATGTCCAAGAGAACGATAACAGACATCTTTCTTTGATCCATGTTATTAAGCAATTCGTCAGTGAAGTGAAGCAGCGCAGATTCGGTCGAATGAAATTTTCTGTTTCCACTTTGCATTTGGTTTTATGATATTGCTTGAGTCGACTAACAAGCTGTGAGTGAGCTGCCCTTTCGCATACTTTAGAGAGAATAGGCATAAGTGAAATTGGTCTTGTGTTCGCGGGCTCCTCACTGTCCCCTGATCTAAGAAATGGAACGATTTCTACTTACTTCCTGGGAAGTGGAAAACTGCTCAAAGAAAAGGAATTGTTAATGAGACTAATTATGATGGGAGCAATAAGAGGTGAGCTATCTTTCAGAATTTTGGCATTTACTTCATCGCAACCGAGAGCTTTGTTAGACGGCAAACTCGCCCTTGGTGATGGACTGAAACATAAACAAGGTAGTAATGTTTTGACTGGGACTGCGAACAGATTCACACGGATGAATTCCCTCTGTGCCTCGAATGTTGAGATTGTGTTCCTTAGCAAGATTCGTGGCTTTCAAAGCTGTCACTTTTCCCACATTAGTTAATTTTCTGTTCTGTTCAATTTGATACTTGAAGAATTCAAACCGCCTTTTTGGGTCTTTTAGAATACTATCTTTTTATCGTCTTTCCCGTTAGGTCATAGAACGTGGCAGAATTAGAGAAAAAAACCGAGCAAGCAAAGTATTTTTGAACTGAGAAATCTAAATGTAAGTTTGTACGAAGGACTTAATAATTTTAATATTGGTGTACTCTGGGGAAAATTTGGTGTAGACAGCACTTAGTGGATTAAATACATGTGATGTACTTAATCCTCAGATTTGTTGGGCTTTGTCAGCCCGAGGGCGAGAACAGAGACTGTCGCTATCTCGATTTCTTCTGCTGTATTCTGCCCCTTCATGAGAGACCCTCGTAGAATCAGTTCGAAAGTGGATCATGAAGTTCAGGGTCTCAATGGAGTAACGGGTTTTATTCCGCTTATAGATATATATTATTACCTGTTGGCTGCATGTCATTCACTCGTAGAAGTGAGAAGTATCAAATGTGAGAGTCAGAGAGCCATTAAGGGATGCACGTTGGTAATTTTTTCCTATGGCAGGTTTCTTTATTACTAACTTTTTGTTTTTTTTGTTTTTTTTGTTTTTTTTTGTTTTTTTTGTTTTGTACTTGCTACTAACACTACTGATACTTATACTTACACAAATTATGGATACACTACATTACGATACATGTATTACAATACTATTAACATTAATTTAATTTACGGTTGGCGTGTTTACAAAGTTCTTTTCAATTAAAAGACAATCACAAGTAAACATACAGGTCTCAAAAATGAAGTTAAGTATAAGTCTAACCCAAAAAAAAAACAGTATGAAAAATTAAAGTAAAAAAGCCCACGTACGATAAAATTTCGGAAGTTCATTTTTTGCGGTCGCGATCTCTTTTAGGATTTCAAGTTTTCCCGTGATGAACAGTAGGAAGATTTGAAAATCTAAGATGTCTCCGCAAAGGCTTGTGCAGAAAATGTGATATTTGGCTAACAATAGGCAATAATTTAGGACTTGCCAATGCTTTGTCCTATAATGCCAGCCATAGAGTATATGACTTGTGGATAACGTTATTGTTTCATTTGTTTTTTGGTGCCACCAGTCTTGAAACAGAATCCAGAAGTCGAGTATTAGTGTGCAGTTTATAAATAGGTGATGCAACGTTTGTTTTTCTGTATTGCATAGGTTGCATAAGGGGCTCTCTGAAATGCCGTCTCGGTAACGAGTGGCGCGAGTTGGAAGCACGTTATGAATCACTTTATACTGAAACATTATCATTTTAACTTCGTTTGTTACTTTAAATGGCATAAGATAAACGTTCTTGATGGTAGTTTTTGTAAATCCGTGGCGTAGAATTTTGGTTTCGGCAGTGGGAGGAACAAAGACGGTTTTTAAAAGAGAAGAGTAAATAGAACTGGTTCTTAGGCTGTTTACAGTAGTGTTCGCGTGTGTGACGTTTGGAATAGGGTTTGTAAGAATAGCTTTCCAGTCTTTTAGGATTGTGTTGACCAAGCCATAGTATGTGGTGAAAGGCACATTTAAATTAAATTTTGTGACAAATTCATGCCACTTCAAAAAATTCTGATTTTGGTTTAAAATGTCGCTTATCTTAGTAATACCGGCGTCATACCAAGTTTGGTAAAAGACAGGTTTTTTTCCTATAAGAATTTTTCTGTTATTCCACATTATTTCGTTTTTAGGATTTATTTTGGAATCGATGCCCGTTGAGATTTTAAACTCGCACCAATTATTACTAACTTGCCGAACAATCAACTTTTTTAATTGTAAAAAATTCCCTGGATGTACGCGCTGAAATTTCGTTACCTGACGTGGGTACAAGCAGTTACCTGTTGGAGGTTATGTAAAGTCATTTAGGAGGTGGTTTCAGAAGATACATGGGAATTTCTTTAGTTTCCGACGAAGGTCTGAACGGCAATTAGACAAGGCTTGGTTGGGAGGGGTTATGACATTATTTTTTGCGTGCTGCATGCCTGCTTTCTTGTGGAGGAAGAGCTGTAGGAAATGTGCGTGTTGTGATTAATGCAAGTGAATTACTCTCTGAAGTGAAAATCGTCGATTTTTCTATAGTTATTAAATTACACCAATTACTAAAAGTTATAAAACCCGAAGTGTACATGGAGTCTATTCACCAACGAACATGTTTACTTAAATATGACACCTACACATTGAAAAAGAAAACATTATAAATAAACTATTAACGTGAGTGGTTTGTGTATTTCGGGCAATTAAGCGAAACTGGCAAATCGATCCAGTCGCACGATCATGCACACTGGATCATTTTCTGATAAGATCGTTTCTGGTGTTAGTAGTTCTTCAGAAACTTGGGCTTTTAGTTTGACGCAGTAAACTGGGATTTAATATAGTTCCATGTTCTGTAGGCTAGATACTACTTGTTGAATTGTTAAGCACGTTGATAGAAAAGGTTCAAAATAATATACGGTTGAGTTATTTTTTCGAAACGACATCACCAAATCAACAGAAATAATCGGTGGGTGACATGTACCTGCGGCAGTTGCTACGAAGCCAGACTATACCAAAAGAGATCTTTGCTCTTTTATTCATCTAACAAACAATTACAAACTCAAATAAAAAACAACGGTTGTGTTGTTTCTTCATCACTTTTAGAAGGCTTGTCATTCTTGCATTTGTCCTGTGGGTAATTTTTATACTTCTTGTTAAAGTGATTCTTCTTAAAGCATTTAGCGGCAGCTGCATCGCACTCGCACAAGCGAAAGCGGCATTCTCCATTCAACCAGTAATGAGATGCAGGTTCTGAAGTAAAATGAATTTATGTTAAAATACTGTTGTCTACTATTTTTAGAGAACTTCTTCCAGAAATTTTACAACAGAGGACCCATGCCAATAACTGTTTCAAGTTCCCCTATTGTACCACAGCTAACGAAATTTCTGAAATGTGCTCGTAAGTTCAGGTATATGGTAACGAATTATCTCTAAAAAAGGAAACTAGAAAACGAAAACTGAGTACAACTGAACATTAACCTATAAAAAAGTAAAAGCACACACACAAAACCCAGCTAAACTACATAAAAAAGACTTTTTTACCTTTATGCACAGGATTTTCTTTGACTTACCGCATTCGGCAGGGTGTTTCGGTTTTGTTGAGTAGGGGAGAGCATAAACTGCTTTCTCGAAAGGGCAAACCTTCGACCGTACAATGTCGTCATAGCATTTGTCGTGAACTTGGCAGCACCTGACAAAAGATTTATCCACTTTTTGATCTTTTTAGTGTTGTTCTTGGAATCTATTAATCGGTGGGGGGGGGGAAAGGGGGTATCAGCGCTTGGCTAGCAGGAAAGTATGCCTCATTATCATCTTCTGACAACTTTATAAGCATGTACTCCTTCTAAAATGGTAGAGAATGATAGGTTAACAGATTCCAAGGGTCCATTTCCATTCCTTTTCGGTTTTTTCTACTATTTCACCGAAATATTTAAATGAAGTAATTTGAACATTAATTGGATGTAATCCTGTGGTGTAAAAAATGGAACGATCAGTATGTTTTTCTCTCTCTTCAACTTTTTAATTTAATCATCACTCAGGGTACTAGGAAAATCAGTAAAGCTGATCTAAAGAAAACTTTGTTAGATCACCTGTCCAAGTCATCCACGGGTTTGCCTTCCCCACCAATTCCACACCAGCAGCCATAACCATTGAAACGGGTGGGATCTCCTCCAGTAACGCGAAAAACCATCAGGCCGAAGGTGATAACACCCTTCTTAGTCGCGCTCGCGCTCGCGCTTCCCTCATCTGCTAAGCAATTAGCAAGTATAATCTCACTCTTCAAAACATTTTTTTCAGGGGTAATTAGTTGCAATTATGCTTTGTGTCTCTAGAGGAAAGACAGCTGGTCTACTCTTGGCTTCACAGGCTAAAACGTTGAATTTTTTTTTTACATAAGACGTCTTAAACATGAAAGCGATCTGCGCGGTAATGAACACTACTTGAGCAGTAGTAAAAATAAGGCCCGAAAAAGATTCAGGCCTGTACAAGATTTGAACCCCTGACCTTTGCGATACCGGTGCAGTGCTCTACCAACTGAGCTAACAAGCCAACTGGACGCTGGTTTCTATGTTGGTTCCAAATAAACCCGTGAAGTGATGAATAAATGACTGTGATTATATGAAAATCAAGTATGTGAACTGCGGATAAAGAAGTAAATGTGAAAGCGATCTTATTTTCACTACTGCTCGAGTAGTGTTCATTACTGCGAATATCGCTTTCATATTCACGTCTTCATCCGCAGTTCACATATCAGAATTTCATTTATTTTTTCTCAAAGGGCACGGTAACGAATCCTACAATCTGATTGGTTCTTTACGCAGTCCGTACTTTCCCATCTCTGCCCACGGGCAACGGTAACGCTTTCGTGAGTTGCCAAGTACATCCCTACCGTCATTGAGCAAAAACCCTATGGAGCCTCCTTAAGTAAGAAACTAAAATAATCAGACGGATTACCGACATGGTGCATGACTGAGTGTGTCCAAAACAGTATCTGGCTATCACGACTGCAACTCTAAATTTGGGCGTAAGCTATGTAACCTTATAGTTTATTAACTAAAGAACATGATAACTTTAGATCTGATCTTGATTGATGAGATACCTACCTGTGTGGCCAGATTCTGAAACGAATTTTGGTGAGGCGATTGCACCTCCCAGAGCAATCAGCATCAGGAAAATGACCTTAGATTCCATCGTGAATCTGTAAACCTAATAGTATGGATTAGTCGACGGCAACACTTATGTTTGGTTTATATGAAACAATCATATCTAAGCGAATCAATTTATCGCCGAAATCTGAGGCTTCAGCAATCTTTTTTCGCCCTTTCCCGTTCGCTCTTTTTTTTTTTCTAGATTTCTCAAAACGTCTTTTTTCCGATTAACTAGAAGATTGAAGATTGTTTTTTTATTTGTTTGATATTGGCTTTTTGCGCGACTCCACTTCGCGGTCGAAATATCAAAATAACAATCACCGTTGCCTACGATGCACATTGGATGGACGAGTGGATGAACAGTTGGATGAATGGAGAACGAGTTTTTTCAATCATTCTAGTTCCAAGCAATCTTCGAATTATTCAATAATTCAATTTTGCTGGAGAGGGAACGTTTTAGTCCATGTATATGTACACGGGCAAAAATGGAAAAACCTGCATCTCCGCACCGATTCCGGTTAGTTGAACTTGAAGATTGGTTTTTGTTTAGAATGGAAGGAACTACGAAAACAGTGGCAAAATGTTAGAGAATTTCATAAGGAATCAAACTAGCACCTATCATTCAGTAACTGCCCTTTTGACTCTCTCCAATCTCGAAATCCAAGCTACAAATGTAGAGGTTTGAAAATTTTCATCGTTCGGCAACAAATGTTTCCTACGCCATTACCCATACCATTCCTCGGAGAGATACAGGCTAATCCATGTTTATCGTAAACTCCGACAACAAATCGAAGCCGAATTGAAGTACATGTACATGATATTAAACGTTTCCCTTTCGCTAAAAAGAAAAACAGTGATCTTTATTTGAACATTTTCGCCCGTAAATGCACCTTAGGTCGCTTGAAAGCTAAGGCCGTGGGCCAGGGCTGTGCTTGTAGCAAAAATGTGTTAAAAATGACATTTTCCTCGGTCACTGCATGCGTCCCTGTAACATTGTTTTTATCGCTCGAAAACAAAGCTTACTTTGCGCTGCGGTTAATGTCATTTCTGTGTGTCACAAAACAAAACGTGGAATTGATGAAGATATTCCTCAATACCGACTTGCTTTTAACTATTTCGCAGATAAAAATTCAACGGAGAACAAAAGAGAAAGCAAAATGAAAAAGCTAACAGAAATAACCATGCAACTTATCTTCCCTGAAGAAAGCTGGCACCTGTGTATCCCTACTGTGTATCCCTGCTGTGTTTAACGAGGCGATATTTTTGACCAAGAGACATTTGTGAGAGAAGGAAATGGTCTCACAGAATACATTTATTATTTATACATCTACACTTGGTAGCCAAATTGGCAAATTCCAAAACTGCTTGACGGGAATACTTTAATTTCATTTGTAATCTTAATCTGATTCTTTGGTATTCCCAGACTTCGAGTTCACGGTTGTGTAACTAAACTCTAGACGTCGCAAAGGTTCGAGGGTCGTTGAACTGATATCAACATATTAATTAACGAACGTACAATCCAATATGATTTATTCCGTTAGCGGTGTTCGATAGCGTCAAACGATCGTCCTCTCCGTACGCCTAAGAAAAGTTGGAACTTGACGCAGTGAAATTGGCAGAATAGTGACGACTTTAAAAACGTTCGATTCGCAACACAACAACGCTATACTGTTACAAAGCATAGGGTTCAGAAATATGATCCGAAAATATCACTAAGATCTAATTTTAGATAATACTTAGCCCGACAGCAGTTACAGGTTGGGTAGACCTTTTTTACAGTACGGTGAAACATGAAAATGATTTCAATTACACCATCGGATTCTTGGAAAGCTTCAGTTTTCTGAGCTTACCTCAGACGTCCCCTCTTCCTTGTCGTGCCGGACATCGCTTTCATTTCGCCCCAATATTTCTCGAATTATTTACTCTAGAAGGCTTGGAATAGTAAGACGAAATTGTAGGTAAATTAGCTGAAACTTAGTAATATTTCTTACCTCTTGTAAAATTGGAAAGGAAAAGTATAGATTCTCGAGGTAAAGTGTTTTAGATTATTCTGTCGTCTGATTTGTTCTGTGTCGCAGAGAACCTATGAAATAAATAAGCTCTTGATGAACATAACTGAGTTAAAACAAACCTAATAAAAAGAAAAATCAAATAAGATCATAATGCAATCAAAGTCGAGTGAAGAGACAAGCAATCGTACCAACTCTTTCGTAGCGAGTGTACGCCTTCAAATAATGGAAAAAGTTTATTTGTTCCCACGTTTAATTTATTAACTAGTAAAAAAAGTCGCTTAACACCAATTGGTCAATTTCCCAAGTCCTCTAAATCCACACACTATGACTATTTTCAACTGCCATAATGTGACATTAAGGGTTGGTTTTACCTGTTGACCTTCATTGGCTATTTATCTGTTCGCCATTCGGGGACACTATTCAATTTTTTGAGATGATCTACACCGTGCTGATAACTCATTATGTGAAAAGAGAAACCTAACACCGATAAAGACGGAGAGGACAATAATTATGACTGATGAAGACGATATTACGACGACAGAGATGATGACGACCCATGCCACCGATAAGCATTTTATTATTGATGTCAAATTTATGACGAACACTTTAAGGAACGTTCTGTTATCCTACACAAAAAAGAATGACATGTCTTGTTGGTAGGGAACAGATCGTCATAACGTCCGAGATAATTGACCTATATTGATACTTTTTAGTCGCGACCACATAGGTTTAAGTTTTTACAAATTGAAGTTGATCTGATGGATACCTCCTACAAAGACTGTAGCTCATGATGCATTTCCGTGTTATTACTTCTAGGGACTCGTCAAAGCTTTAACACTAGTGACACAAAGGCTTTTTGTTAGGGCCCGGCACGCCTTCTTCTAGGGGCACAATACGCTTGGTGTGTGGTTTACGAGACAATTCCACTTTCCCCTTTTTCTCTCGTGGAAAATTAATAAGCATATCTTAAAGAGTGTCATGAGCAGTACTGAAACGTTTCATTCACTTCAAGCATTAATATATTTAGTGCATGGAACCGTAGTTGTTTCTGCTAAAATACCGTTGTGTGCAATATTTTCTTCCAAAAGAAGGCCAACAGAAGTTGAGATAACCGAAAAAGAGCGTTTTTGGAATTTGGTTAAAAGCTTAGTGGTTGTTGGTTTTAATTGGTAAAACTATGTTAGAATGTGGTATAAGAACCCTCACGGAAGTAATGGGTCTGTGATATGTACCTGTGGCAAAAGCCCTCAAAGAACGCCGGCCCAATCAAAGTGAGGAAATCAGCAAAATGATCGCAGAGTTCATTGTGAATCTGTAAGACAATGATGTGGATCAGCCTAATTCTTCTTTTAGAAACAGAAATTTCTAACAAGAGAGAAAACTTATGAAAAACTTAAAAGCATTACAAGCTAGGAAGAAACGAAAAAAACTCATAATACTCCAGGCGCGCGCTAAGCTACAAAACGATGATTTTGGAATGACTGTGTTTTAGCTTTAGAGGAGGTAAATGTATAGGTCATTGCATAGCGACATCAGCAGTTTAGCCCAACAAATATTCTGAAACTTGCGCCGGCTCTTTTTGACAATACAGGTCTTGCGCTCGCACCTTTCTTTAAGGCCTCTACCAAACTTCCGCGTTTTCGTTTGAAAACGCAAACTTTTTCGTGCGTTTTCACCGGTCATCCACTCTAAAACACCCGAAAACTTTGATGAAAACGGAGAGTTTTAAAAGTGGAGCATTTTGACAACGCATCGTTTTTAAAACGCTCCGTTTTAGGGCTGACAAGTGAAAAGGGTGACGAAGAAATTTACAGATGGGATCGGCTCCAATCCTAAACGTAACATCTGTCCAAGATGGCAGATAACCTTGTGTTGTTGTACTTGCTGTTTTCGCGATTTGTTCATGTCTTCAGCTTAACATCGCCTTGTACAAAGTGAAAGCGTACTTAAGACGAAGCTGGACAGGGATCATGAAAAGATTAGTCTTATTATCAATTTTAGGTCCCACTCGTTTCATCGTCTTCGGCCGTGTAGTGTGACCGACAAGTGAAGATGCTGTCAAATATGAGTACGAGGAATTTTAAAATTGAAAGAATGTGTTCAGGGCCTAAAATCGCGAATTTTGACTTTCAATGTAAATTTGTAGAATTCAAATTTAAACCGGCAATGGGGCTGCGTTATTGTAGTTCACATAATGAAGCATTTTCAATAAATTCGTCCTATTTCAAACTCTTATTGAAAAATATTTCAAATGATACGGTAAAGCTTGATGGATTTGATTTTGAGTCTGTCAAGTAGCAGGTTTTGTTTAGCGGCAGGTCTGGGGCCCTAAGCCCACTTCACAGCCCTAAAGAGTAAACGTTTTTCCCTTTACCATAGTAACGAGAACAACTTGCCGAACGCCAGAAACTGAAACCAATGAGTATTGCTTATATAAAGAGAACTGTATATTATCACCTGTCCAAATCATCCACGGGTTTGCCTTTCCCACCAATTCCACACCAGCAGCCATAACCATGGAAATCAATGGGATTTCTTTTAGTAACGCGCAAAATCATCATCGCATTTGCACTTTCCTCATCTTTTAAAAAACACAGATTAAAAATAACTTTGAGATGGGAATAGAGTTAAGTTAAAGAGATTTTCCCATAAATCAGGTGATCACATACAAACCTTAGATGCCTTGGCATTCGGCAAAGCAACGACTCCTAAAGCAATTGACATCAGAAAAGGGATTTTAGATATCGTAATGACACTGCAACGTAATATTTTAATATTTCAGTCTGGAAAAAATGTTTTGTTTGTGTGGTTTCATTAGGAATATTTTAGTGCATGGATAGAGCGTCGTATAGCTATGTGGGAGGTTAAGGGTTCGATCCTCCAACCTTAACAATACTTAGGTCGTAAAAAAAAAACGCAGTAGAATGTGCTTCCTTTGCAATTTACTTGCAAATTGTTAGACATTGATGTGTTGTCGTTTAAGGACGATAAATCGTAACCCCGTAGCCTGTATCTTCACTGCTTTGGTTGGTTGCGGATATTATGGTACCTTGGAACCTCCTTAATGTATAGTTGGACACGGCACTGCCGGTGTTCGTGTCCAATAAGGTTCAGATCTGCTTTTAACTAAGAAATTCTACCATACTTAAATAAATGCTGGTAAAGATCAGCAAGCAAACCAACAAAGGTAAATGTAAGTGAACAGGGTAGTATTTTGGGGGTCAGGCTCAAGGGCAAGTTGCTGGAAACTTATTAGTCATGAGAGCCCGAACTTAATCAGTGTAGAAATATCACCTATGTTACCATGTGGTTCTCTCTTCGGGATATATTACTTTGAACCAGGAACTGTTGCATGATAACTTTATATAAAAGTGATATGCAACCAATCTTCGAACAAACGATTTCATTTGTGGTGGTAATTTTGGCTAAGAGGATATCAAACTGGCGTCACTGGATATTGTACTGATATTGAAATGAGGAGATGCATGTCATTCGCTTGTGGTAGTGAGAAGTATCAAATAAAGGAGTCAGAGAGCCATTAAGGGATGTGCGTTGGTAATTTTTTTCCTTTGACAACTTTCTTTATTACTAACTTGCCGAAACACTCAACTTTTTTATCGTAAAAAATTCCCTGGATATACGCGCTGATATTTCATTACTTGGCGTGAGTGCAAGCAGTTAGCTGTTGGAGGTTATGTAGAAGCCCTTTACGAGGTCGTTCCAGAAGATGCATGGGAATTTCTCTGATATTCGACAAAGGCCTGAACGGCAATTAGATAAGGCTTGGTTGAGAGGGGTTATGACATTATTTTCTAGCGTGTTGCATGCTTGCTTTCTTGTGGAGGAAGACTTGTAGGAAATGTGCGTGTTGTGATTAATGCAAGTGAATTTCTCTGTGAAGTGGAATCGTCGATTTTTCGATAGTTATTAAATTTACATCCATTTTGACATCGCCCAAATGCAGAACTTGGTCACTTCAAATATTTTATTGATGCAGTACTGAGCCGGTTTTTAAATAAAAAGCGGAATCGGAAACGCTTTTACATCTCATTTTGTACGCAAAACAGAAAGACTTTGACGTCATGTCTCAAAAACTCAGTCAAGCGTATCAAAGTAAAAAAACAATCATTCAAGAAATTCGAAAAGTCCTTAATAACTCAGAAAAAGAGTGAAGCGTTAAGGTTCAATCCTCGTCATCTCACTCAATAATGTAAGCCCTTCGTTTCTTCTACGGTTGGGGTGGAGAATTCTAGCTGTCTTTGGAGAAGAAATTGAAGTTGCAGCCTACGTAATTCTGCAATGGAACGGGAGCAGTACAACTAAAGGCTTCTATGCAGTACTGAGACTGCAATGGGAAACGTGGTGAAAATCCTGAAAATTCAGCTGGCTGAAAACCAGGATTGGAGCCCATGGCCTAATGCACTTGGCCTTGTTGTTGGACGTATTAAATAGGAACCAGAGGTGTTCGTTTATGTTGGACTGCAATCTCTTGATTTGAGGCTTCATTTGCAGTGTTTTGGCGGGAGATTTTGTTTACTTGATTTTCATTTGACACATCTTTATATCCACTGATAATGTAAGACAGTTCTTTCCTGTGATTCTCGTCTATTTCATCGTAGTCGTCTAACGAAGATGGCACGTGCATGGCCAGTTATTTCAGAGATGACACTGTGCGGTTGACCAGGCTTCCTCAGTTTTGACACCAATATTTTCTTCATGCTGTGGTTCGTCAGCCTCTTATTCGTCCGGAGACAGGAGGCCATGGATTTCATTACATTGCCGATGGTGTTTTGTCCCATTCGAACTTCGGCGTACCAAACATCTGCTGATTTAGGACGATTTATAATGCTCAGATAGAGAGGCCCTGTGTTCTTCATTCCTTCGGGTCGTTTAGACAACCAAAGCTTGAATAGCCGCGCTGGAACACTTTTTCCGCCATCGGTGCTGAATATTGCTTGTGGTGTTGTTCTTCGCCTGATGGTGAGACCACCGCTCCGTTTTTTGGTGGGACCTTCCCGGAACTCAACAACCTTAGTTCCATCTTGTTGCTGCCTTATGATTACGTCTTCCACGTGTGCGTCGAAGGGTTCTTGGCGACCACGCAATTCCAGTCGTTCCGCCAAATTTTTCAAGTTGACATTGATCAAGACCTTTCCATTAAAGTCACCCAACTGACCTTTTTCCCACAGAGCTGACCCTTCTTCAGGTGTGATTGGCTGAGCTTTGTTGAGTCTCTTTCCCTTTCCTTGTTGACGCAGGGAAATTGCTTTCGCATTGAGGATTTCTTGGGAGGAGTGAAACTCCCTCGATCGCACAATGCTCAATGGATAGTTCTTCTCCTTTAAATACCGTTCAATGGCACTCAGCATGATTTTAAGAGATTCTGGCGCGTAATCATCTCCATTCTTTTTTTTCACTTCAGCGTAAAACTTACTCAGGACCTTGTCAAGTTCTTCAGGCACCTTTGCTTCGATGGAGACATATTCAAGATGGCGACATTGACACCAGCTTCTTAAAACATTCATCCATTGTTTTGTGGAGCGGGACGTATTTCTATTCGAAGCGACAGACTTAAGCTCATTCATTTCATCGCTTGAAATGATAGGAAATCTTGAAACATCCAACTCTTTAGGTGGCTCTTGATTTTCTTCTTTTGTTGCTGACTCAGTGGACTCGGGATCGCGCCGATTTTGATCTTGAGAAGGTAGAAAATCGTCAAAATATTCACCAAAATGTACACGAAAAGTGAAAAAATCCCTGGAATGTTGGTCTTCAACCTGAAGGATCTCATTGTCATCATTCAAAAACTGGAAGTATTAAATTAATCCATTTTTGAGGGGGGGGGGGGGGGGGTGAAATAAGAGTTTTAGAAACAAAAGTTGCAAAAATAGAAACAAAAGTTGCAAAATTTGCATGATACTCTTTGTCTTTCATTTTTCTGCAATTTTATTGGTTACTTTTAAACAAGCCTTGAAATCGGATTGGTTGTTTTGTTTTAAGTGTAACTTTATCATTGGCTGGACAAAAGATGCGATTTAGAGCAAAAAATGCTGCTATTCGTGAATAAATAGTGCCAATTAGATTACAGGGACCACCAGTGATTTCAAAATGGATGTAATAATTAAAATTACTGGGATGAACATGTTTACTTAAATGTGACACGTACACGTTGAAAAAGAAAACATTGTAAATAAACTATTTACGTGAATGGTTTGTGTATTTCTAGCAATGAAGTGAACCTGGTAAATTGATTCAGTCGCACAATCATGCACACTGGATCATTTTCTAAGAAGATAAAACTGATATTTGCTTCTGATGTTAGTAGTTCTTCAGAAACTCTGGCTTTGAGTTTGACGCAGTAAACCGGGATTTAAGATAGTTCAGTGTTCTGTGGGCCAGTTACTCTATGTTGATTTGGTAAAGCACATTGATGGAAAAGGTATAAAATAATATACGGCTAGGTTATTTTTCCGAAACGACATCACCAAATCAACAGAAATAATCGGTAGGCGACATGTATCTGCGGCAGTTTCTACGAAGCCAGACTATACCAAAAGAGATCTTTGCTCTTTTATTCATCTAACAAACAATTAAAAACTCAAAGCGAAAACAGTTGTTTTGTTTCTTCGTCACTTTTAGAAGGCTTGTCGTTCCTACACTTGTTCTGTGGGTATTTTCTATACTTCTCGTCATAGGGACTCTTCTTAAAGCATTTAGCGGCAGCTGCATCGCACTTGCACAAGCGAAAGCGGCACTTTTTCCAAAACCAGTAATGGGATGGAGGTTCTGAAGTAAAATGAGAGAATTTAGTTAACATTTTTACAACTGAGGAACTATTCCAATAATTGTTTCAAGTTCCCCTTATGTGCCACAGCTAACGAAATTTCTGTGCTCGCAAGTTCAGGTATATGGTAACGAATTATCTGAAAAAAAAAAAAGAAACTGGAAAACGAAAACTGAGTACAACTGAACATTAACCTATAAAAAAGCAAAAGCACGCACACAATAAAACCAGCTAAACTACATAACAGACGTTTGTACCTTTATGCACAGGATTACGTAAGTCATTTTCTTTGACTTACCGCATTCGGCAGGGTGATTCCGTTTTGTTGAGTAGGGGAGAGCATAAACTCCTTTCTCGAAAGGGCAAACCTTCGACCGTATAATGTCGTCATAGCATTTGTCGTGAACTTGGCAACACCTGAAAATAGATTTATCCACTTTTTAATCTTTTTAATGTTGTTCTTGGTGTCTACATTTGGGGGGGGGTAACAGTTCTTGTCTAACAGGATAGTATGCTTCATTATCATCTTCTGACAACTTTATGAGCGTATACTCCTTTTAAAATGATAGAGCATGATAGGTTAATAGATTACAAGGGTCCATTTCCATTCCTTTGGGTACTGTAACAGACAGTATGTTTTTCTCTCTCCTCAACTTTTCAATGTAATCATCACGTAGGGTACTAGGAAAAATCAGTAATGCTGATCTAAAGAAAGCTTTGTTAGATCACCTGTCCAAATCATCCACGGGTTTGCCTTCCCCACCGATTCCACACCAGCAGCCATAACCATTGAAATCAAGGGGATTTTTTTTAGTAACGCGAAGAACCATCAGTCCGAAGGAAATAACACCCTTCTTAGTCGCGTTCGCACTTCCCTCATCTGCTAAGCAATTAGTAAGTATAATCGCACTCTCAAAACATTATTTTCATTGGTGAATAGTTGTAATTATGCTTTGTGTCTCTAGAGGAAACACAGCTGGTCTCCTCTTAGTTTCACAGGTTAAAACGTTGAATTTTTTGCTGACATAAGACGTCTTGAATATGAAAGCGATCTTCGCAGTAATGAACACAACTTGAGCAGCAGTGAAAATATGGCCTGAAAAAAATTCATGCCTGTACGAGATGTGACCCCCTGACGTGTACGATACCGGTGCAGTGCTGTACCAACTAAGCTAACAAGCCAACTGGGAGCTGTTTACTATGTTGGTTCCAATTAAACCCGTGAAGTGATGAATAAATGACTGTGAATATATAAAAATCACGTATGTGAACTGCGGATAAATACGTAAATGTTAGAGCGATCTTATTTTCACTGCTGGTCCGTATTTTCCTATCTCCGCCCACGGGCAACGGTTACGCTTTCGTGAGTCGCCGAGTACATCCCTACCTTCTAATCTTGAATGATGAGATACCTACCTTTGTGGCCAGTTTCTGCGATGAAATTTGGTGAAGCGATTGCGCCTCCCAGAGCAGTCAGCATCAACAAAATGACTTTAGATTCCATAGTGAATCTGTAAACCCAATAGTATGAATTAGCCAACGGCAAAATTAGGTTTGGTTTATATGAAACAGTCATATTTAGGCGAATCAATTTATCGCCGAAATCTGAGGCTTCAGTAATTTTTTTTCATCTTTTCTCGTTTTGCTCTTTTTCTTCTAGATTTGTTAAAGCGACTTCTTCCGATTAGCCAGAAGATTGAAGATTGCTTCTTTATTTGTTTGATATTGGCTTTTTGCGACAAAATAACAATCACCGTTGCCTACGATGCACGTTGGATGGATGAGTGGATGAACAGTTGGATGAATGGGTGATGAGTTTTTTCAATCATTCTAGATACATTGAATTGAACTGAAAGGCCGGCCAATGACAGCTAAGTCGTTTTTCTCTCAGGTGTTTTTTGCCAAATGAATAAATTTGTAATTTTGAACTGAAGATCGTTTACTTGCTTTTGTTTTCAGCGGTTTCATTTATCAAGCCGTGTGAAATCGTACTCGGAGAAAAATTAAAGCTCCTATATAACAATGTCCGACAAATAAAAACTACTGCGAGTAATATCAAAAAGTAGAGACTGAATTTGGACTGAGAAAAGGAAATCTAAAAAAGTAAATCTGAAAAAGGAAAAAAAGAAACAGTCTCTACACTTGGTAGCCAAATTGGCAAATTCCAAAACTGCTTGTCGGGAATACTTTAATTTCATTTGTACTCTTAACCTGACTCTTTGGTATACCCAGACTTCGAGTTCACGGTTATTTAACTAAACTCCAGGCGTCGCAAAGGTTCGAGGGCCGTTGAACTGATATCAACATATGAATTAACGAACGTACGATCCAATATGATTTATTCCACTAGCAGTGTTCGATAACGTCAAACGATCTTCCTCTCCGTACGCCTAAGAATAGTTGATGCAGTGAAATTCGCAGGATAGTGACTACTTTAAAAACGTTCGATTCTCAACACAACAAGGCGATACTGTCACAAAGCACAAGGTTCAGAAATATGATCTGAAATTGTCACTAAGATCGTGTTTTAGATAATACCTAACCCAAAAGCAGTTACAAGTTGGGTAGGTCTTTTTTACAGCATGGTGAAAATGATTTCAATTACACCAGCGGATCCTTCGAAAGCTTGAGTTTCCTGAGCTTATCTCATACGTCCCCTCTTCCTTGTCATGCTGGACATCGCTCTCATTTCGCCCCAACATCTCTCGAATTATTTACTCTAGAAGGCTTGGAAAAATAAGACGAAATTGTAGGTTAACTAGATGAAACTTACTAATATTTCTTACCTCTAGTAAATTGGAAAGGAAATGAATAAATTCCCGAAGCAAAGTTTTTTAGATTATTCTGTCGTCTGATTTGTTCTGAGGAACCTATGAAGTAAATAAACTCTTGATGAACATAATTGAGTTAAAACAAACCAAATGATACGAAAAATCAAATAAAAATAAAATGCAAGCAAAGTCAAATGAAAAGACAAGCAGTCGTACCAACTCTTTCGTAGCGAGCGTACGCCTTCAAATAATGGAAAAAGTTTATTTTCTCCCACGTTTAATTTTTTAACTGGTAAAAAAAAATGAAGTCTCTTAACACCCATTGGTCAATTTTCCATGTCCTCTATATCCACACACTATGACCATTTTCAACTGCCATAATGTGACATCAGGGGGTGGTTTTACCTGTTGAACTTCATTGGCTATTTATCCGATCACCATTCGGGGACACTATTCATTTTTTTTTTTAGATGAACTACACCGTGCTGATAATTCATTACACGAAAAAAGAAACCGATAAAGACGGAGATGACAATAATTATGATTGATGAAGACGATGCTACGACGACAAAGATGATGACGACCCACCGATAAGCATTTCATTATTGATGTCTAACTTATGGCGAACGCTTTAAGGAATGTTTCTTTGTCCTACACAAAAAAAGGACATGTTGGTAGGAACAGATCATCATAACGTCAGAGATAATTGACCTATATTGATGGTTTTTAGTCGCGACCACATTGGTTTAAGTTTTTACCAATTAAAGTTGATCTAATGGATAACTCCTACAAAGACTGATAGTTATTGATGTATTTCCGTGTTATTACTTCTAGGGACTCGTCAAATCTTCTAAAATTGGTGACAAAAGGGCCTTTTGTTTAGGTCCGGTACGCTTTCTTCTGAGGGCGCAATACGCTTGGTGTCTGATCTACGAGACAACTCCACTTTCCCCTTTTCTCTCGTGGAAAATTAATAAGCATATCTTAAAGAGTGTCATGGGCAGTACTAAAACGTTCCATTCGCTTCAAGCATTTATATATTAAGTACGTAGAACCGTAGTTGTTTTTGCGAAATACCATTGTCTGCAATATTTTCTTCTAAAAGAAGGCCAACTGAAGTTGAGATAACCGAAAAAAGAGAGTTTAGAATTTGTTTAAAATTTTAGTGGTTATCGGTTTTAATCAGCAACACTGTGTTAGAATACGGTATGGAGAACTCTCATAGAAGTAATGGGCCTGTGATATGTACCTGTGGAAAAAGCCCTTAAAGAACGCCGGCCCAATCAAAGTGAGGCTATATTCAATTTGTAATGGCAACCTTTATTTCATGTTAAATATTGTGCTTGATTAAAGAAATACCTTGACAGAGAAACGACAGAGTGTTTGTCATTCTAGCACTTGCTCTGGGGGTATTTTCTGTACTTCTCGCGCGGAATCCAAAGGTCTGGGGTTCGATTCCCCACAGGGACTCAGAATTTTTTCTTCGCCCCAAGCTCGTGACAAGACGAAAAAAACATCTTTCTCTATTTTTTTTACCGAGCTCAAAACTCACTATCTCTCTTACTTTATATATGTCTATTTTAATTTAGGAAAGAGATGACTTAAACACTAAAAAGGTCTAAGTCTATTTCCATAACACGAGTAGGGAACAAGATGTTTATTAGAGAGCATGAAATAGTTCGTTATGACCCAAAGAGATGAGATACGCACCCGCTTTAAGGCCAGTTGCTGAGATGGCTGTCGGTATGGCGAAGACGCCCAAAGCAGTCCAAATCAGCAAAATGATCGCGGAGTTCATTATGAATCTGTAAGACAATGACATTCTTCTTTTAGTAACAGAAATTTCTAACGAGAGAGAAAACTCAGTTATGAGAAACTTAAAAGTATGCTCATAGTACTCCAGCCGCCGAGCTACAAAACGATAATTTTGGAATGATTGTGTTTTCGCTCTAGAGGAGGTCAATATATATGTCATTGCATAGCGACATGAGCAGTTTAGCCCGACACTTGTGCCGGCTCTTTTTGACAATGTCAACTGAGGACAGTAATCATGAATGCTTTCTGCAATGCGAGTCACAATCATGATGAGCCTTAAAAAAAACACCTTATAAGACGGCCAACTGTTGTTTTTCTCAGAGAATAAGGAAATTCGACGACAGTTTTGGCGCTTGCACCTTTCTTTAAGGCTCCTACCAAACTTCTGCGTTTTCGTTTGAAAACACAAAACTTTTTCATGCGTTTTCGCCGGTCATCTACTCTAAAACACCCGAAAACGTTGATGAAAACGGAGACTTTCGAAAAGAGTTTTAAAATTGGAGTGTTTTGAAAACGCATCGTTTTTAAAACGCTCCGTTTTAGGGTTGACAAGTGAAAAGAGTGACGAAGAAATTTGCAGATGTGATCGGTTCCAATCCTAAACGTAGCATCTGGCCAAGATGGCAGATAACCTTGTGATGTTGTACTTGCTGTTTCGAGCTATGTTCATGTCTTCAGCTGTGAAAGCGTACTTAAGACGAAGCCGGACAGGGATCATGAAAAGATTGGTCTCATTATCAATTATCTTTTTCAATAGATTCATCCTTCTTCAAATATTTCACATGATACGTTGGAGCCTGCATGGTGAGTTTGGGTTTTGTTGGGTGGTAGGTCTGGGGCCCTAAGCCCACTTCACAGCCCTAGGGCCAATTGCCTGAAGCATAAAGATCATTTCAAGGTTGACATGTCCACGTAAAGATCTTCGAAGGCCTTGCAAGATTATGGACTTCAAAGAGTCCCTTTTGAGACAAAATGAATGTAAGGTTGGAATGGTGGCTTTTGAAAGGAAGATCTTCGTTGCTGTAGGTCTTGTGGTAGGCCGCGGGCTGCGGTCCGGCTCTATCTACACCCCGCTGAAAACCAAAAAAAATTAATGAGTTACCGCGCTTTTGCGTTAACTTTTGTTTTCACCACTCAATTAACTCATTTATCTCCGCATCACGGCGTACTCCTCTCCATTTATGTTACAGAACATTTTAGAAATTAAAGATAGTCTTTTTAATAAAGATTTTACCGAAAACTTCCTTAGAGATAGCTTTGACCTTAACCATGAGACCGTCCAATGGCAAATGAATAGTTTTTCTTTCGCGCTGCTTTTTCTACCTCAGTGAATATGTGAATTTGTAAAGGTTAAGGATCGCTTGTTTGTATGCTCGAATTTAGTTTTTCACCCTTTCTTGATTAAAGGTATTTAAAAAAGGGAGCTACAATTTCCTTTTTTTTTCCGGCGGTTTTAACCGTTAGATGACGCGAAGTTGTAGTCCGAAAATCTCAGCAGGTTTAGAAGGAACTCGTACTTGAAATAAAAAACTAAGAAGATGGCATGGTGATCATTAGAGCAAATTAAAACACCAGTGTTAATTCAGCTTATCACCTCACAATATTCTTCGGTAACTCCAGACTTCGATTTCAAGTACAAGCAAGTGGACTGTTTACACTTTGCCGCGAATAAACTTCGGATGTGGATCACGAAGCTCAGGGTCTCAGAGGGGTAACGGCTTTTATTCCACTAATGGTTAAAGTTCTGGCCAATTCATGGTTGAGGTGAGGGATAATATCTTATGAATGACATTTACTGATAATTTGTCAATTTTTACGCTTTACGGATCAAATAAATATTCTATCCGTTTTACAGCTAACAGTTAAGTCCATTGAAACCTTTGAAGTTTGAACTGCATACTGCTCGTCTTTCCCGATTACCATTAATTTTTTTTATAATTCACCTATGACTTTTTCAACATCTGACAGCTCAAGGTACGTAATTTCATCGGTCTCTGGGCTACGAAGCATTTCCTTTTTTCTCTTATTTCTCACGCGGGAACGTAGAGAGCCTACTTCAAAGAGTATCTCCGGGAGCACTTTAAAGTTCCAGATTGTGTTATAGAGCGATAAAATTCATGGCCTTTTGGCGAAATTCTTATCTTTGCAATGTTTGTCTTCTAAGAATGCCTTTTTTACGACCGAAATTGACATATCCAAAACGCAAGAGCATATTTAGAAGTTCGTTTGAATGGAAGCTTACAGCTTATTGGTTTTAATTCGCCGAAGAATGTCATCAGCGTTAGGACATGCAACTTTGCCTACACAGATGTAAGGGTTCTGCGAATGTATTTGTGGTGAGCTATTTAGTGCAAAGACAGATAAAATCAAACAAAGACTATGTGCAAATTGCAATGGATACTTTTAATTTGTATTATCTCTTGTGCTTAAAGAAATAGCCTATGGACTACAATAGCACTTGGTGTGTGGGTATCTTCCCTTCTTATTTGATAGCGACTTATTTTAAAACATTTTGTGGCCACTGCATCACACTCGCACAAGCGATAGCGACATTTTCCCCAAAACCAGTAATAAGAGGCAGGTTCTAGAGTAAGATAAGACAATAAAGTTAAACCCTTTTTAATCTTCAGAGAGGTCAGCTGATGCGAATTTTAATATCCACTGTCAAATTGAATTTCCAAACTGCGAATTTTTCTGTCACAACATCACGGACAGGTAAACCTCTGAAGTTTGGCAGGGCAAGTCCAGACGTACTTTAGAAAATTTAAACTACTTAATTTATCCTTTCCAGTAAAACGGAATAACCGAGATTTTATGGAGGAAAGATCTTCGTTACGCGAAAGGAAAAACTATTGTCGCGCAAGGAAAACCCAAAAATGCGAACAACAAGCATATGGAAAGTATAGAGACCAGTCAAATGATCGTCGCAATTAACTTGTTTTTCACAACTGGGCTGGTTGTGATATGTAAAGTAATCAGCCAAAAAAAACATTTTGCATTCAGTTAGCGTTGTCAAACTTAACTCAAATTAAAGAACCCGCAAAATGCCCCCACAAACAAGTCGAAACACTTCAGCTAAATGTAAACATATAATCACAAAGCATTCAAAGTGAAAATATAACTATTTTTTGGTGGATGGAAGGTCATTTTTAAACGTACTGCATCGTGAGGGATGATTTCGTTTTGTTGAGTAGGGCATAACATATAGACTCCTTTCCTGAATAGGCAATTTTTCGACCGCTTAAGCTTGTCATAGCATTTGTCAGGATTCAGGCAACAGCTTAAGATAAACACGATTAACCTATCTCTTTAACTTCATTTACAACAGAGCTTTTCTTCTCTACAAATGCCAGTTTGAAAATACGAGGTCACCACTAAACAAATATTCGCTGAAGGGGACCTGAGTATTATATGAGTAATCCAAAGAAGTCCATAACTACATCGAAAAACACCCCTCGTCTTCAAAAACAGCCCGCATAAAAAACCTTGGAACCTCCTCAATGTATAGTTGGACACGGCACTGCCGGTGTTGTGGTCTGGTCTTTGTTTGTGTCCACTGAATAAGGTTCAGATCTGCTTTTCACTGACAAAGTCTACCATACTTAAATAAATACTTGTAACGATCTAGCAAGCAAACTAACAAAGGTACATGTAAGTGAACAGCGCGGGCGGTGTTTTGGGGGTCTTCTGTATCTTCTCACAAGAGAAGATGCATGTCATTCACTTGTGGTAGTGAGAAGTATCAAATATGAGAGTCAGAGAGCCATTAAGGGATGCACGTTAATAATTTGTTTCTTATGACAGGTTTCTTTATTACTAAATTGTCGAAACAATCAATTTTTTATTGTAAAAAATTCCCTGGATGTACGCGCTGAAATCTCATTACTTGGTGTGAGTGCAAGCAGTTACCTGTTGGAGATTATGTAGAAGTCGTTTATGAGGTCGTTCCAGAAGATGCAAAGGAATTTCTCTAATATTCGACGAAGGCCTGAACGGCAATTAGATGGGGCTTGGTTGGGAGGGGTTATGAAATTATTTTTTGCGTGCTGTATGCTTGCTTTCTTGTGGAGGAAGAGCTGTAGGAAATGTGCGTGTTGGGATTAATGCAAGTGAATTTCTCTGTGAAGTGAAAATCGTCGATTTTTCTATAGTTATTAAATTACACCAATTACTAAAAGTTATAAAACCCGAAGTGTACATGGAGTCTATGCACCAATGAACATGTTTACTTAAATATGACACCTACACATTGAAAAAGAAAACATTATAAATAAACTATTAACGTGAATGGTTTGTGTATTTCTGGCAATTAAGTGAAACTGGCAAATCGATCCAGTCGCACAATCATGCACACTGGATCATTTTCTGATAAGATGAAACTGATATTCGTTTCTGATGTTAGTAGTTCTTCAGAAACTTGGGCTTTTAGTTTGACGCAATAAACCGGGATTTAAGATAGTTCAATGTTCTGTAGGCCAGATACTATATGTTGACTTGTTAAGCACGTTGATAGAAAAGGTTCAGAATAATATACGGTTGAGTTATTTTTTCGAAACGACATCACCAAATCAACAGAAATAATCGGTGGGTGACATGTACCTGCGGCAGTTGCTACGAAGCCAGACTATACCAAAAGAGATCTTTGCTCTTTTATTCATCTAACGAACAATTACAAACTCAAATGAAAAACAACGGTTGTGTTGTTTCTTCATCAAATTTAGAAGGCTTGTCATTCTTGCATTTGTCCTGCGGGTATTTTCTATACTTCTTGTTATAGGGATTCTTCTTCAAGCATTTAGCGGCAGCTGCATCGCACTTGCACAAGCGAAAGCGGCATTCTCCTTTAAACCAGTAATGAGATGCAGGTTCTGAAGTAAAATGAATTTATGTTAAAATACTGTTGTCTACTATTTTTAAAGAACTTCTTCCAGAAATTTTACAACAGAGGACTGATTCCAATAACTGTTTCAAGTTCCCCTACTATACCACAGTTAACGAAATTTCTGAAATGTGCTCGTAAGTTCAGGTATATGGTAATGAATTATCTCTAAAAAAAGGAAACTAGAAAACGAAAACTGAGTACAACTGAACATTAACCTATAAAAAAGCAAAAGCACACACAAAAAAACAAGCTAAACTACCTAGCAAAGACGTTTTTATCTTTATGCACAGGATTACGTAAGTCATTTTCTTTGACTTACCGCATTCGGCAGGGTGATTCGGTTTTGTTGAGTAGGGGAGAGCATAAACTCCTTTCTCGAAAGGGCAAACCTTCGACCGTATAATGTCGTCATAGCATTTGTCGTGAAATCATCTAACTGACCTTTTTCCCACAGGGCTGACCCTTCTTCAGGTGTGATTGGCTGAGTTTTGTTGGGTCTCTTTCACTTTCCTTGTTGACGCAGGGAAATTGCTTTCACATTGAGGATTTCTTGTGAGGAGTGAAACTCCCTCGATCGCACAATGCTCAATGGATAGTTCTTCTCCTTTAAATACCGTTCAATGGCACTCAGCGTGATTTTAAGGGATTCTGGCTCGTAATTATCTCCATCCTTTTTTTTTCGCTTCGGCATAAAACTTACTCAGGACCTTGTCAAGCTCTTCAGGCGCCATTGTTTCGATGGAGACATATTCAAGATGGCGGCATTGACACCAGCTTCTTAAAACATTCATCCATTGTTGTGTTTAGCGGCACGTATTTTTATTCGAAGCGACAGACTTAAGCTCATTCATTTCATTGCTTGAAATGATAGGAAATCTTGAAAAATCCAACTCTTTAGGTGGCTCTTGATTTTCTTCGTTTGTTGCTGACTCAGTGGACTCGGGATCGCGCGGATTTTGAGCTCGAGAAGGTAGAAAATCGTCAAAATATTCACCAAAATGTACACGAAAAGTGGTAAAATCCCTGGAATGTTGGTCTTCAGCCTGAAGGATCTCATTGTCATCATTCAAAAACTGGAAGTAATTAAATTCATCCATTTTGGGGGAAATAAGAGTTTTGAAACAAAAGTTGCAAAATTTGCGTCATGATACTCTTTGTCTTTCATTTTCCTGCAATTTTATTGATTAATTTAAACAAGCCTTGAAATCTGATTGGTTGTTTTATCTTAAGTGTAACTTTATCATTGGCTGGACAGAAGATACGATTTAGAGCAAAAAATGCTGCTATTCGTGAATAAATAGAGCCAATTAGAGGGACCACCAGTGGTTCCAAAATGGATGTAGTAAAATTTATAAAAACCTGAAGTTTACATGGAGTCTATGCACCAATGAATTACTGGGATGAACATGTTTACTTAAATGTGACACGTACACGTTGAAAAAGAAAACATTGTAAATAAACTATTTACGTGAATGGTTTGTGTATTTCTAACAAGGAAGTGAAACTGGTAAATTGATTTGGTCGCATAGTCATGCGCACTGGATCATTTTCTAAGAAGATGAAACTGATATTTGCTTCTGGTGTTAGTAGTTCTTCAGAAACTCTGGCTTTAAGTTTGACGCAGTAAACCGGGATTTAAGATAGTTCAATGTTCTGTAGGCCAGATACTCTATGTTGATTTGGTAAAGTACATTGATGGAAAAGGTTTAAAATAATATACGGTTGGGTTATTTTTTCGAAACGACATCACCAAATCAACAAAAATAATCGGTAGGCGACATGTACCTGTGGCAGTTTCTACGAAGCCAGACTATACTAAAAGGGATCTTTGCTCTTTTATTCATCTAGCAAACAATTACAAACTCAAAGCGAAAACAGTTGCGATGTTTCTTCGTCACTTTTCAGAAGGCTTGCCGTTCCTACACTTGTTCTGTGGGTATTTTCTATACTTCTTGTGATAGCGACTCTTCTTAAAGCATTTAGCAGCAGCTGCATCGCACTTGCACAAGCGAAAGCGGCATTTTTTCCAAAACCAGTAATGAGATGGAGGTTCTGAAGTAAAATGAGAGAATTTAGTTAAAATTTTTACAACAGAGAACCAATTAAAATAACTGTTTCAAGTTCCCCTAATGTACCACAGCCAACGAAATTTCTAAAATGTGCTCGTAAGTTCAGGTATATGGTAACGAATTATCTTAAAAAAAAAAAAAGAAACTGGAAAACGAAAACTGAGTACAACTGAACATTAACCTATAAAAAAGCAAAAGCACACACACAATAAAACCAGCTAAACTACATAACAGACGTTTTTACCTTTATGCATAGGATTACGTAAGTCATTTTCTTTGACTTACCGCATTCGGTAGGGTGATTCCGTTTTGTTGAGTAGGGGAGAACATAAACTCCTTTCTTGAAAGGGCAAACCTTCGACCGCATAATGTCGCCATAGCATTTGTCGTGAACTTGGCAACACCTGAAATAGATTTATCCACTTTTTAATCTTTTTAATGTTGTTCTTGGTGTCTACTTTTGGGGGGTAACAGTTCTTGTCTAACAGAATAGTACGCTTCATTATCATCTTCTGACAACTTTATGAGCGTATACTCCTTTTAAAATGATAGAGCATGATAGGTTAATAGATTACAAGGGTCCATTTCCATTCCTTTGGGTTTTGTCGACTATTCCACCCAACTATTTAAATGAAGTAATTTCACCACTGGGTTTAATCCTGTGGTGTACAAAGTGGAGCGGACAGTATGTTTTTCTCTCTCCTCAACTTTTCAATGTAATCATCACGCAGGGTACTTGGAAAATCAGTAATGCTGATCTAAAGAAAGCTTTGTTAGATTACCTGTCCAAATCATCCACGGGTTTGCCTTCCCCACCAAGTCCACAGTAGCAGCCATAACCATTGAAATCAAGGGGATTTCTTTTAGTAACGCGCAAAATCATCAGGCCGAAGGAAATAACACCCTTCTTAGTCGCGTTCGCACTTCCCTCATCTGCTAAGCAATTAGTAAGTATAATCTCACTCTCAAAACATTATTTTCCTGGGTGATTAGTTGTAATTGTGCTTTGTGTCTCTAGAGGAAACACAGCTGGTCTGCTCTTGGTTTCACACGCTATGTCTGATTAAAACCGATATGTTTCTTATGTCAGCAATTTTTGCTGACATAAGACGTTTTGAATATGAAAGCGATCTTCGCAGTAATGAGCACTACTTGAGCAGTAGTGAAAATATGGCCTGAAAAAAATTCATGGCTGTACGAGATGTGACCCCTGACCTGTACGATACCGGTGCAGTGCTCTGCCAACTGAGCTAACAAGCCAACTGGGAGCTGGTTACTATGTTGGTTCCAAATAAACCCGTGAAGTGATGAATAAATGACTGAATATATGAAAATCACGTATGTGAACTGCGGATAAATACGTAAATGTTAGAGCGATCTTATTTTCACTGCTGCTCGAGTAGTGTTCATTACTACGAATATCGCTTTCATATTCACGTCTTTATCCGCAGTTCACATATAAGATTTTCATTTTTTTTTTTTCAGAGGGCACGGTAACGAATCCTACAATCTGATTGGTTCAATACGCGGTCCGTATTTTCCTATCTCCGCCCACGGGCAACGGTCACGCTTTCGTGAGTCGCAGAGTACATCCCTACCTTCTAATCTTGAATGATGAGATACCTACCTTTGTGGCCAGTTTCTGCGATGAAATTTGGTGAAGCGATTGCGCCTCCCAGAGCAGTCAGCATCAACAAAATGACTTTAGATTCCATCGTGAATCTGTAAACCCAATAGTATGAATTAGCCAACGGCAAAATTAGGTTTGGTTTATATGAAACAGTCATATTTAGGCGAATCAATTTATCGCCAAAATCTGAGGCTTCAGTATTTTTTTTCATCTTTTCTCGTTTTGCTCTTTTTCTTCTAGATTTGTTAAAGCGTCTTTTTCCGATTAGCCAGAAGATTGAAGATTGCTTCTTTATTTGTTTGATATTGGCTTTTTGCGACAAAATAACAATCACCGTTGCCTACGATGCACGTTGGATGGATGAGTGGATGAACAGTTGGATGAATGGGTGATGAGTTTTTTCAATCATTCTAGATACATTGAATTGAACTGAAAGGCCGGCCAATGACAACTAAGTCGTTTTTCTCTCAGGTGTTTTTTGCCAAATGAATAAATTTGTAATTTTGAACTGAAGATCGTTTACTTGCTTTTGTTTTCAGCGGTTTCATTTATCAAGCCGTGTGAAATCGTACTCGGAGAAAAATTAAAGCTCCTATATAACAATGTCCGACAAATAAAAACTACTGCGGGTAATATCAAAAAGTACAGATTGAATTTGGACTGAAAAAAGGAAATCTAAAAAAAAGTAAATCTGAAAAAGGAAAAAAAGAAACAGTCTCTACACTTGATAGCCAAATTGGCAAATTCCAAAACTGCTTGTCGGGAATACTTTAATTTCATTTGTACTCTTAACCTGACTCTTTGGTATTCCCAGACTTCGAGTTCACGGTTATGTAACTAAACTCCAGGCGTCGTAAAGGTTCGAGGGTCATTGAACTGATATCAACATATGAATTAACGAACGTACGATCCAATATGATTTATTCCACTAGCAGTGTTCGATAACGTCAAACGATCTTCCTCTCCGTACGCCTAAGAATAGTTGATGCAGTGAAATTCGCAGGATAGTGAATACTTAAAAAACGTTCGATTCTCAACACAACAACGCGATACTGTCACAAAGCACAAGGTTCAGAAATATGATCCGAAAATGTCACTAAGATCGTGTTTTAGATTATACCTAACCCAAAAGCAGTTACAAGTTGGGTAGGTCTTTTTTACAGCATGGTGAAAATGATTTCAATTACACTAGCGGATCCTTCGAAAGCTTCAGTTTCCTGAGCTTATCTCATACGTCCCCTCTCCCTTGTCATGCTGGACATCGCTCTCGTTTCGCCCCAACATCTCTCGAATTATTTACTCTAGAAGGCTTGGAAAAATAAGACGAAATTGTAGGTTAACTAGATGAAACTTACTAATATTTCTAACCTCTTGTAAATTGGAAAGGAAATGAATAAATTCTCGAAGCAAAGTTTTTTAGATTATTCTGTCGTCTGATTTGTTCTGAGAACCTATGAAGTAAATAAACTCTTGATGAACATAATTGAGTTAAAACAAACCAAATGATACGAAAAATCAAATAAAAATAAAATGCAAACAAAGTCAAATGAAAAGACAAGCAGTCATACCAACTCTTTCGTAGCGAGCGTACGCCTTCAAATAATGGAAAAAGTGTATTTTCTCCCACGTTTACTTTTTTAACTGGTAAAAAAAAATGAAGTCTCTTAACACCCATCGGTCAATTTTCCATTTCCTCTAAATCCACACACTATGACCATTTTCAACTGCCATAATGTGACATCAGGGGGTGGTTTTACCTGTTGAACTTCATTGGCTATTTATCCGATCATCATTCGGGGACACTATTCATTTTTTTTTTTAGATGAACTACACCGTGCTGATAATTCATTACACGAAAAAAGAAACCGATAAAGACGGAGATGACAATAATTATGATTGATGAAGACGATGCTACGACGACAAAGATGATGACGACCCACCGATAAGCATTTCATTATTGATGTCTAACTTATGACGAACGCTTTAAGGAATGTTTCTTTGTCCTACACAAAAAAAAGGACATGTTGGTAGGAACAGATCATCATAGCGTCAGAGATAATTGACCTATATTGATGGTTTTTAGTCGCGACCACATTGGTTTAAGTTTTTACCAATTAAAGTTGATCTAATGGATAACTCCGACAAAGACTGATAGCTATTGATGCATTTCCGTGTTATTACTTCTAAGGACTCGTCAAATCTTCCAAATTTGGTCACAAAAGGGCCTTTTGTTAAGGTCCGGTACGCTTTCTTCTGAGGGCGCAATACGCTTGGTGTCTGGTCTACGAGACAACTCCACTTTCCCCCTTTTCTCTCGTGGAAAATTAATAAGCACATCTTAAAGAGTGTCATGGGCAGTACTAAAACGTTCCATTGGCTTCAAGCATTTATACATTAAGTACGTAGAACCGTAGTTGTTTCTGCGAAATACCGTTGTCTGCAATATTTTCTTCTAAAAGAAGGCCAACTGAAGTTGAGATAACCGAAAAAAGAGAGTTTAGAATTTGTTTAAAATTTTAGTGGTTATCGGTTTTAATCAGCAACACTGTGTTAGAATGCGGTATGGAGAACTCTCATAGAAGTAATGGGTCTGTGATATGTACCTGTGGAAAAAGCCCTTAAAGAACGCCGGCCCAATCAAAGTGAGGCTATATTCAATTTGTAATGGCAACCTTTATTTCGTGTTTAATATTGTGCTTGATTAAAGAAATACCTTGACAGAGAAACGACAGAGTGGTTGTCATTCTAGCACTTGCTCTGGGGGTATTTTCTGTACTTCTCGCGCGGAATCCAAAGGTCTGGGGTTCGATTCCTCATAGGGACTCAGAATTTTTCTTCGCCCCAAGCTCGTGACAAGACGAAAAAAACATCTTTCTCTATTTTTTTACCGAGCTCAAAACTCACCATCTCTCTTACTTTATATATGTCTATTTTAATTTAGGAAAGAGATGACTGAAACATTAAAACGTCTGAGTCCATTTCCATAACACGAGAAGGGAACAAGATGTTTATTAGAGAGCATGAAATATTTCGTTATGACGCAAAGTGATGAGTTACGTACCCGCTTTAAGGCCAGTTGCTGAGATGGCTGTCGGTATGGCGAAGACGCCCAAAGCAGTCCAAATCAGTAAAATGATCGCGGAGTTCATTATGAATCTGTAAGACAATGATGTGGATCAGCCTAATTCTTCTTTAGTAACAGAAATTTCTAACAAGAGGGAAAACTTATGAGAAACTTAAAAGCATTGCTTCCAAGCCAGGAAGAAACGAAAAGAACTCATAGCACTCCAGCCGCCGAGCTACAAAACGATAATTTTGGAATGATTGCGTTTTCGCTCTATAGGAGGTCAATATAAAGTTCATTGCATAGCGACATCAGCAGTTTAGCCCGACACTTGTGCCGGCTCTTTTTGACAATGTCAGCTGAGGACAGTGATCATGAATGCTTTCTGCAATGCGAGTCACAATCATGATGAATCTGAAAAAAAAAACACCCTATAACACGGTTAATTTTTGTTTTTTTAGAGATAAAAAATTCGACAACAGTTTTAGCACTTGCATCTTTCTTTAAGGCTCCTACCAAACTTCTGCGTTTTCGTTTCAAAACACAAACTTTTTCATGCGTTTTCGCCGGTCATCCACTCTAAAAAAACAAAGAAAATGTTGATGAAAACGGAGACTTTCGAAAAGAGTTTTAAAATTGGAGCGTTTTGAAAACGCATCGTTTTTAAAACGCTCCGTTTTAGGGTTGACAAGTGAAAAGGTTGACGAAGAAATTTGCGGATGTGATCGGTTCCAATCCTAAACGTAGCATCTGGCCAAGGTGGCAGATAACCTTGTGATGTTGTACTTGCTGTTTCGAGCTTTGATCATGTCTTCAGCTGAACATCGCTTTACACAATGTGAAAGCGTACTTAAGACGAAGCTGGACAGGGATCATGAAAAGATTGGTCTCATTATCAATTATCTTTTTCAATAGATTCGCCCTTCCTCAAATATTTCACATGATACGGTGGAGCCTGCATTATGCCTTCATCTGAGAAGATGAAAATGATATTTGTTTCTGGTGTTAGTGGTTCTTCAGAAACTCGGGCTTTTAGTTTGACACAGTAAAGCGGAATTTAAGGGATCTTTGCTCTTTTATTCATCTAACGAACAATTACAAACTCAAAGCGAAAATAACAGTTGTGTTGTTTCTTCATTACTTTTAGAAGGCTTGTCATTCGTGCATTTGTTCTGTGGGTATTTTCTATACTTCTCGTGATAGCGATTCTTCTTAAAGCATTTAGCGGCAGCTGCATCGCACTCGCACAAGCGAAAGCGGCATTCTCCTTTAAGCCAGTAATGAGATGCAGGTTCTGAAGTAAAATGAATTTATGTTAAAATGCTGTTGTCTAGTATTTTTAAAAGAAGTTTTTCAAGAAATTGTACAACAGAGGACCCATTCCAATAACTGTTTCAAGTTCCCCTATTGTACCACAGCTAACGAAATTTCTGAAATGTGCTCGTAAGTTCAGGTTTATGCTAACGAATCATCTTACAAAAAAAAAGAAACTGGAAAACGAAAACTGATTCGAATAAAAACAGTACAACTGGACATTAACCTATAAAAAAGCAAAAGCAGACGCAAATAAAACAGCTAAACTACACAACAAAGACGTTTTTACCGTTATGCATAGGATTACGTAAGTCATTCTCTTTGACTTACCGCATTCGGCAGGGTGTTTCGGTTTTGTTGAGTAGGGGAGAGCATAAACTCCTTTCTCGAAAGGGCAAACCTTCGACCGTACAATGTCGTCATAGCATTTGTCGTGAACCAGACAACACCTGAAAATAGATTTATCCACTTTTTGAAGTTGTTCTAGGTGTCTACCAATCACTGAGGTTAACAGCGCTTGTTTAGCAGGAAAGTACGCTTCATTACCATCTTCTGACAATTTAATAAGCGTATACTCCTTTTAAGATGGTAGAGCATGATAAGTTGATGGATTCCAAGGGTCTATTTCAATTCTTTTTCGGTTTTGTCGACTATTCCACAGAAATATTTAAATGAAATAAGACTATGTTTTTCTCTCTTATTTTTTTCAACTCTTTGTGTTTTTAACTTAATCATCACGCAGGATACTAGGAAAATCAGTAGTGCTGATCTAAGGAAAGCTTTGTTAGATCACCTGTCCAAATCATCCACGGGTTTGCCCTCCCCACCAATTCCACACCAGCAGCCATAACCATTGAAATCAAGGGGATCTCTTTTGGTAACGCGCAAAACCATCCAGCCGAAGGAAACAACATCTCTCTTAGTCGCGTTCGCACTTCCCACATCTGCTAAGCAATTGGTAAGTATGATCTCACTCTTCAAAACATTGCTTTCATGGGTGATTAGTTGCAATTATGCTTTGTGTCTCTAGAGGAAATACAGCTGGTCTGCTCTCTACTGGTTTAACACGCTAAAACGTTAAATTTTTTGACGTAAGACGTCTTAAATATGAAAGCGATCGTCGCAGTAATGAGCAATAATTGAGTAGTAGTGAAAATAAGGCCTGAAAGAAATTCAGACCTATACGAGATGTGAGCCCCTGACCTCTGCGATACCGGTGCAGTGCTCTACCAACTGAGCTAACAAGCCAACTGGGAGCTAGTTACTATGTTGGTTCCAAATAAACCCGTGAAGTGATAAATAAATGACTGTGAATATATAAAAACCATGTATGTGAACTGCGGATAAAGACGCAAATGTTAGAGCGATCTTATTTTCACTATAATGCTAAAGTAGTGTTCATTACTGCGAATATCGCTTTCATATTCACGTCTTTATCCTCAGTTCACATATAAGATTTTCATTTATTTTTTTCTCAGAGGGCACGATAACGAACCCTGCAATCTGATTGGTTCTTTGCGCGGTCCGTGTTTTCCTCTCTGCCCACGGGCAACAGCAGCGTTTTCGTGAGTCGTCGAGTACATCCCGACCTTAGTTGAGCAAAAACCATGTGAAGTCCCCTTAAGCAAGTAACTAAAACAATCAGACTGATTACCGACATGGTGCACGACTGAATGTGTCCAAAAACGGTATCTGGGTATCACGACTGCAACTCTCTAAATTTGGGCGAGAATGGCGTAATAATAAACTATGTAACCTTATAGTTTATTAACTAAAGAACATGATAACTTTAGATCTGATCTTGAATGATGAGATACCTACCTGTGTGGCCAGATTCTGCAATGAAATTTGGTGAAGCGATTGTACTTCCCACAGCAATCAGCATCAGCAAAATGACTTTAGATTCCATCGTGAATCTGTAAACCTAACAATATGGATTAGCCAACGGCAACACTTAGGTTTGGTCTATGTGAAACAATCATATTTAAGCGAATCAATTTATCGCCGAAATCTGAGGCTTCAGCAATTTTTTTTCGTCTTTTCTCGTTTCGCTCTTTTTTTTCTAGATTTGTTAAAGCCTCCTTTTTCAGATTAGCCAGAAGATTGCTTCTTTGTTTGTTTGATATTGGCTATTTGCGTGACTCCACTTTGCGGCCGAAATATGCAAAATAACAATCACCGTTGCCTACAATGCACGTTGGATGGATGAGTGGACGAACAGTTGGATGAATAAATGAATACACAGTTGGATGAACGGATAACAATAACGAGTTTTTTCAATCATTCTAGTTCCACGCAATCTTTGAATTATTCAATAATTCAATTTTGGTGAAAAGGGAACGTTTTAGTCCAAGTATATGTACACGAGCAAACATGGAAAAACCTGCATCTCCACAGCGATTCCGGTTTGTTCAACTTTATGTTAGAGGATTGTTTGTTTAGGATGGAGTGGACTACGAAAACAGTGGCAGAATGTTAAAGAATTACATAAGGAATCAAACTAGCACCTATCATTCAGTAACTGTCCTTTTGACTCTCTCCAATCTCGAAATCCAAGCTGCAAAGGTAGAGGTTTGAAAATTTTCATCGTTCGACAGTAAATTTTTTACGCCATTACCCATACCATTCGCCACCAGAGATATACAGGCTAATCCATGTTTATCGTGAACTCCGACCACAAATCAAAGCTGAATTGATGCACATGCACATGTACATGATTTTAGACGTTTCCCTTTCGCCAAAAAGAGAAACAGGGGTCTTTATTCGAACAATGTTGCACGTGAAATGCGCCCAGGGTCGCTTGGAAGCTAAGGCAGTGAGCCAGGGCTGTGCTTGTAGCAAAAACGTGTAAAAAATTACATTTTCCACGGTTACTGCATGAGTCCCTGTAAAATTGTTTTTATCGCTCGAAAACAAAGCTTACTTCTTTGCGCAGCGGTTTAATAGCCTTTTTGTGTGTCTCAGAACAAAATGTGGAATTGATGAAGGTATTCCTAAACACCAACTTACTTTTAACTATTTCGCAGATAAAAAAATTCAACAGTGAACAAAAAAGAAAGCAAAATGAAATATATATATATATAGACGTGTAAGAAGTGTAATAATTTTTGAAAGTGTAAACGGACGATAAGAAAATACAAGGGGAAGAAATAATTAGAAGCTAATTTAAAAACAAATAAAAATTAAAAATTAAAAACAATTAAAAACCTAATTAAAAACCTTTGCACGAATTGAGTGCGACTGCACATTGAGAGCAGGTCTCAGTTCTTGAATAAAAAACATTTCATAAAGTAGGAAGTCAAATTTGTTCGTGGGCTTCTTTAAAACACTTAAATTCTCCGTTAGATCCCCTGAGGCCAATAAATGCTTGTCACGAAGATGCTTGCCAATGTCAAACGAGGCGATATTTTTGACCAAGTGACATTTGTGACAGAAGGAAATGGTCTCACCAGATACATTGAATTGAACTGAAAGGCCGACCAATGACAGCTAAGTCGTTTTCCTTTCAGGTGTTTTTCCAAATGAATAAATTTGTAATTTTGCATCGAACATCGTTTACTTGCTTTTGTTTTCGGCGGTTTCATTTATCAAACCGTGTAGAATCGTACTCGGAGAAAAAGCTCCTATATAACAATGACCGACAAAAAGGAAACTACTGCGGGTAATATCAATAAGTTTAGGTTGAATTTGGACTAAAGTAAGAAATCTAAAAGAGAAAAAAAAGAAACAGTCTCTACACTTGGTAGCCAAATTGGCAAATTCCAAAACTGCTTGTCGGAAATACTTTATTTTCATTTGTAATCTTAATCTGACTCTTCGGTATTCCCAGACTTCGAGTTCACGGTTGTGTAACTAAATTCTAAGACGCAAAGGTTGGAGGGTCGTTGAACTGATATCCACATATCAATTAACAAAAGTAAAATCCAATATGATTTATTCCATTAGCAGTGTTAGATAATGTCAAGTGATCGTCCTCTCCGTACGCCTAAGAATAATTGGAACTTGACGCAGTGAAATTCGCAGAATAGTGACGACTTTAAAAACGTTCGATTCGCAACACAACAACGCGATACTGTCACAAAGCACAAGGTTCAGAAATATGATCCGAAAATGTCTCTAAGATCTAATTTTAAATAATACCTGGCCCGACAGACAGGTTGGGTAAACATTTGTTACAGAATGGTGAAAATGATTTCAATTACACCAGCGGATACTTCGAAAGCTTCAGTTTCCTGAGCTTACCTCAGACGTCCCCTCTCCCTTGTCGTGCCGGGCATCGCTTTCATTTCGCCCCAACATTTCTCGAATTATTTACTCTAGAAGGCTTGGAATAATAAGACGAAATTGTAGGAAAATTAGCTGAAACTTACTAATATTTCTTACCTCTTATTAAAATGGAAAGGAGATGATTAGATTCTCTAGGCAAAGTTTTTTAGATTATTCTGTCGTCTGATTTGTTCTGTGTCGCAGAGAACCTATGAAATAAATAAGCTCTTGATGAACATAATTGAGTTAAAACAAACCAAATAAAACCAAAAATCAAATAAAATTAAAATGCAATCACAGTCGAATGAAAAGACAAGCAATGGTATCAACTCTTTCGTAGCGAGTGTACGCCTTCAAATAATTGAAAAATTTTATTTGTTCCCACCTTTAATTCATTAACTAATTTTAAAAAAATGAAGTCTCTTAGCGCCAATTGGTCAATTTTCCATGTCCTCCAAATCCACACACTATGACTATTTTCAACTGCCATAATGTGACATTAAGAGATGGTTTTACCTGTTGAAATTTATTGGCTATTTACCCGTTCGCCATTCAAGGACGCTATTCATTTTTTTCTGAGATGAACTACTCCGTGCTGATAATTCATTACATGAAAAAAGAAACCTAATAACGATGAGAGAAAACTTATGAGAAACTTGAAAGCATTGCTTACAAGCCGAGCTCAAAATTCACCATCTCTCTTACTTTATATATGTCTATTTTAATTTAGGAAAGAGATGACTTAAACATTAAAATGTCTGAGTCCATTTCCATAACACGAGAAGGGAACAAGATGTTTATTAGAGAGCATGAAATAGTTCGCTATGACGCAAAGTGATGAGATACGTACCCGCTTTAAAGCCAGTTGCTGAGATAGCTGTCGGTATGGCGAAGACGCCCAAAGCAGTCCAAATCAGCAAAATGATCGCGGAGTTCATTATGAATCTGTAAGACAATGATGTGGATCAGCCTAATTCTTCTTTAGAAACAGAAATTTCTAACAAGAGGGAAAACTTATGAGAAACTTAAAAGCATTACTTCCAAGCCAGGAAGAAACGAAAAGACCTCATAATACTCCAGCCGCCGAGCTACAAAACGATAATTTTGGAATGATTGCGTTTTCGCTCTAGAGGAGGTCAATATATAGGTCATTGCATAGCGACATCAGCGGTTTAGCCCGACACTTGTGCCGGCTCTTTTTGACAATGCCAACTGAGGACAGTGACCATGAATGCTTTCTGCAATGCGAGTTACAATCATGATGAGTCTGAAAAAATAAAAAAAACCTTATAAGACGGCTAACTGTTGTCTTTTTAGAGAGTATAAAAATTCGACAACAGTTTTAGCGCTTGCACCTTTCTTTAAGGCCCCTACCAAACTTCTGCGTTTTCGTTTGAAAACACAAACCTTTTCACGTGTTTTTGCCGGTCATCCACTCTAAAACACCCGAAAACGTTGATAAAAACGGAGACTTTCGAAAAGAGTTTCGAAAAGAGTTTTAAAAATGGAGCGTTTTGAAAAGGCATCGTTTTTAAAAAGCTCCGTTTTAGAGTTGACAAGTGAAAAGGGTGACGAAGAAATTTGCAGATGTGATCGGTTCTAATCCTAAACGTAGCATCTGGCCGAGATGGCGGATAACCTTGCGATGTTGTACTTGCTGTTTTCGAGCTATGTTCATGTCTACAGCTTAACATCGCCTTGTGCAATGTTAAAGCGTACGTACGACGAAGTCGGACAGGGATCATGAAAAGATTGGTCTCATCATCAATTTCAGGTCCAACTCGTTTCATCGTTTCATCGTTTCATCGTGGCCACGACCTACGACTACATATTCTCTATGATAGAAAAAGAAGTGCGAAAGAAGAATTGTTCATTTGCCATCGGACGGTCTCATATAGTTAAGCTCAAAGCTATCTTTAAGGAAGCTTTCGGTAAAGTTTTTTTTAAAAGCATTATCTTTAATTTCTAAAATCTTTTGTGACATAAATAGAGAGGAGTACGCCGTGATGCGAAGATTTAAGTGTTAATTTGAGTGGTAGAAACAAAAGTTAAAGCAAAAGCGCGGTAACTCATAATTTTTTTTTTTTCAACGGGGTGTAGATAGAGCCGGGCCGCAGCCAAAGATTGCTTTGAGCTTAACCATATGAGACCGTCCAATGGCAAATGAACAATTTTTCTGCTTCAAGCGGTTTAAATTTACTGAAGATGGTTTAAATCTGCCGCTCGTATGATGATCGGAAATTTTGAAAAATCCCGCGTGTATTTTGAAGCTGTTTCCGCCATTGCTCCAAAGTAGTCATATACGGTCATTGTTAATAGTTTACCAAAGCTTGCTGTAATCTAAGCTGATCCGCTTTTTCTTTAGGTTAATCCTTTCCAGTAAAACGAAATTACCGAGATTTTATGGAGGAAAGATCTTCGTTACGCGAAGGGAAAAGCTACTGCAGCGCAAGAAAAACCCAAAATGCGAACAACAAGCGAAAGGAAAGTATAGAGACCAGTCAAATGATTCATCACCATCAACTTGTTTTCTTCACGACTGGGCTGGTTGTGATATGTAAAGTAATCGGCCAAAAAAAACATATTGCATTCAGTTAGCGCTGTCGGACTTAACTTAAATTAAAGAACCTGCAAAATGCCCTAACAAACAAATCGAAACACTTCAGCTGCATGTAAACATATAATCACAAAGCATTCAAAGTGAAAATACAACTATTTTTTAGTGGATGGAAGGTCATTTTTAAACTTCCTGCATCTCAAAGGAAGATTTCGTTTTGTTGAGTAGGGCAAAACATAGACCTCTTTACTGAACGGGAAATCTTTCGACAGCTTAAGCTTGTCATAGCATTGGTCAGGACTCAGGCAGCACCTTAAGATAAGCCTATCTCTATAACTTTCATTTACAACAGAGCTTTTCTTCTCTACAAATACCAGTTTGAAAATACGAGGTCACCACTTAACAAATATTCGCTGAAGGCGAAGGCCTACTCTGGGACCTTAAGTCGCCGTAACCTTAGGCGACTTTGCGCGATTTAAGGCGACTTAAGGCGACTTTAGCAAAATTGGCACAAAAAATATTGCGACTCTAGGCGATTTAAGGCGACTTAAAGCGATTTTATTTGACTGAAGCGATAAAACCGAAGTTAGCAACAGTCTCTCCATAAACTTTAAAAATGTCTACAGAATCCCTTGCAATAAACACAACAGTCGTTTCGGTTACTTATATCCAGATTTCAAATCAATTTAGCTAAAAAGTGTTCAGACAGAATTACCACAACAGTTATTGTTAAATTATACAGTCAAAGCTAGTGAATAAATAGCCAGGAAACCAATTTAGCAAAAATGTTCAGACAGAATTACCACAAAAGTTATTGTAAAATTATACAGTCAAAGCTAGTAAATAAATAGCCAGGAAAACATTATGGGTTATATGCCCAACATCAAGCAAACCTATCATAAATATACACATAGTGCCATAAATATTTTAGACACAATTTTGATGAAACTATCCATAAATTTTCCACATAATTAATTAAAAATAACATGATTATTTACGTGTATTAAATATTTCACAAAGCTCCACAAATTATAAAAAATTGTTATCTTGGTAAACTTGTCTCCCATATTTTTGGCACTTGCACTGTCAATTTTGGCATGAAAGTTTGGCAAGTCGCATGCCTTTCCAACAACATCCAAAATTGCACGGGTCCTTTTCAGTGACCCAACCAATTTGTTGTTTTCTTGCCTCAGTTAGACAAAACACCCCAATACCATAAGAAAACTGCAGAAAACTATGATTGGAGTGGATAGGGTCAATTGGGAAGGGTGGAACCCTAATGACATTGCGTAACCGATAGCAACCTAAGGAAACTTAGGGCGACTTAAGGTGACTTTAGGCAACTTTAGGCGACTTTAGCTGGGCGACTTAAGGCGAATTAAGGTCTCAGAGTAGGCCTAAGGCGACCTGAGTATTATATGAGTAATCCAAAGAGGAAGTCCATAACTACATAAAAAAACACGGCTCGTCTTTATAAATAGCCCGCATAATTGTCTGAGGCAATAAAAGCGTCGACCAATATTTCAATGAAATGAATCATAGCTTTGAATAGTCAAACTGTTAATCATATCAAACATTCAGTTAATCAAGGAAGAGCTTTTAAGAGTAGATAAACCAGAGTTTAGAGTACATAATCGAGTTAATTTTTTTAGCTCCTTGTGGTGTGTGCAAAATGAAATGTAGAGTGAATTTTTAATCACTTTGCCATAGTAACATGAACAACTTGCCGCACGCCAGAAACTGAAACCAATGAGCATTACTTATACAAAGAGAACTGTATATTATCACCTGTCCAAATCATCCTTGGGTTTGCCTTTCCCACCAATTCCACACCAGCAGCCATAACCATTGAAATCAATGGGATTTCTTTTAGTAACGCGCAAAATCATCAAGCCAAAGGAAATACCACCTCTCTTGGTCGCATTTGCACTTTCCTCATCATTTAAAAAACACAGATTATACATAAATTTGAGATGGGAATAGCGTTAAGTTAAAGAGATTTGCTCATAAATCAGGTGATCACATACATACCTTGGATGCCGGATATCGAAGTGGTATTCGGCAAAGCAACGACTCCCAAAGCAATTAAAATTGCGTTTGTGAGGTTTCATTTATATGGGTATATTTGAAACAATCACAAATATGCCGGGCAGAGAGGAACAATAAGCCAAACGACTTAAGGAAAAATAAGCTGAGAAAGATTCAAGGCTTGGAAAAGTGTCAGAAGTGGTACATATGAAATCGATCATAATTTTATGAACTCATATTTCAAGTGTCAAACTAATACTCACAAATGGATAGCCAGTAAAGCAATTTCAAAAATTATATATAAGAGCGGAAACATTTTTTGGCCTCGTTTTCTAGTTACTGGTAGCACCCAACAGTATCAATGAGAACAAACAGACTCATGCCCGAGCGAGGTGTAGGTTCTTTACATAGCCATCTTATCTTAAATTCAATCCCCTTATTTTGCATTGAGCAAATCTACGATTTTAAGCTGAAAATGTTTTCTTTTGTGTTAAACAAAACATCAAACCTTTCCTCGGCATCTTTGGCCCGAGAATTCCGAATTTTTAAAGTTGCATTTCGCCTCTCTCAGCGAATTCAATTGCTTGGTGGTGACAAATTATGAATAAATCTCCTTGTCACGTTACTGCTTCAGAGAGAGAGAGGGAGGGAGAGAGAGAGAGAAAGAGAGAGAGAGCGCAATGAGTGTGGGTCGCTACGTCAGATTTAGGAGAAATTCTCACCCAAGTAGGGAACCCAATCAAGACTAATTTTATTTGGGAGTCATTTAGACAAAAAGGAACACCTTTACGTTTAAACAAGTCCAGCAGGTGTTCCTGTTCCCAAAATAACTTCGGTTTTGTAATCAATAAATTAACGAGGGCTTGAAAAGAGGGCTTGAAAAAAAAAAAACTTTATCAAATGCTAAGAAAAATTTGATTACTGTTACTTCAAAGCTCGGATTTCAGTAGAGCTCCCATTTATCCTAAACTTAGCAGCAGATATTCTCTTATGACAAAGAATTACTGCGACAGTAATGAAGAAATGAATGACGAGATTATATTTTTAGGTATTCGTGACAGCCTCGGTGTAATGAGCAAGACTATTGGCATATTCATTTGTAGGTTGATATTCACAAATAAGGAGCTTGAGGAGGGACGAGGAGGCTCTAATCTTTATCATAGATTTCTTTCTCTGTTTTTTGTCTTCTCCCAGTTATTCTATGTGACAGAAGAACTTAAGGAATTATCACGTAACCAATTTGAAACAAGCTAACAGCTGAAAGGTTAAAGAGATAGAAAAGCTAAGTAAAGGAACATACCAAACTAAAGAAACTTACTGCATGCGAACTGCTGCGTTCTTCTTCAAAAGGTGAAAAAGTTTTCGCTCATTAGATTATTCCCCCAATTAACTTTTAATGATTATCTGATTACCAAATTATCAACTAGGAGGAATCTTGAAATTTACTTTCCTAGTCTTCTTTTGATTTTCACATGTTTATGACAATTTTCTCTGATTGTTCAGTTAACCAGGTTGAAAGGTATTTGAAGGGCAGCACTTGACAGCCAAAAAAGTTTTTGAAAAGGGTCTTCCCTTGAACAGGTCCGCTTCTCGATCATCAGTCACCTTTTTTCATCATGCACCTGACAAATGGCTCATTCATCGAACGTCAAAATAAATCTTCCTAGAGGCTGCAGCGTACGTGTTTGTCTCGGATAAAACTGCCTTTTTAGCATTAATGCAATTGGTATCACTAAATAAGGATACTACTTGTTTGTCATCAGGATGGAAAAAAGACAGGAATTGTACAGAAGGGTGACAATAAACTGATTTCGCTGAAAAATGAAAAGCAACAGGGCAACAGTAACTTCTTAACTTCTTTTGCTTGGTCATCAAGCTTTTGATTAAAGGCTTTTTCATTTCTTCGCTCAAGAGTTATTTAGCGTACTACCTTACTCTGAGAATCATGGGAAAGTCCCTACCAAAACGTTCAAACAGATGTATTTTTATCGCCGATTAAGACCTCCTAACAATTTTCCCTAAAAAAAAATTATTGTCATCTGTTAATAATTGACAAAATCAGAGAAATAGTACCAGCTAACTTTCTTATGCTCATCATAAATCACAGCGTTAGCATATTTAATGAATGCCATAACTAACCATGCATCTATTAATACATAAATATATTTGAACGCCACTTCCACATTTTAACCCTTTATTCAATTTTGTTGTACACAGTCATGAATATGTTTGGGAACTGGAATCATTTAAGACCGCATCTTATTCTTCTTAAGAAAGCGAAGTTCGCCACGTGAACGACAAATTTTGGGGTCATTCTGCGCGTATTCTGGATAATATTTGTTCCTCATGAAGCAATTGACGGCTTTAGTATTACACTTGCACAGTTCGTAACGACAGCGGCTTCTGACAGGCTCTGAAAGAATCAAAAAGTATTGATGATGGTAGCTATTACAACGCTTATTGTAATGACGATGACATAACTAAAAACGAAATATTTAATGAAGAATTGCAAACTTTTTTCAAATTACATCTTCGGGCCTTTAATCTTTTCAATTTGCAATGGAAGCCGCAATCAACGCCTTTGTAATAAGTGCGCCATAAGAGTCTCGTTTTTGACGTTTGGCCATTTTGCAAAAAACGTTTCTGCTGAAGCCTGATAGTGAATTCATTATTATCATTATATATTTGTAAGATTGCTGCCTAAAAAATTTAGTCGAAAAGTCTCTTTCTCTCTCAAGTCACCATTCAATAGAGCTGTTGGTTATATAATTAGCTATCCTGGTTAAGAGTTTTGAGCTTACCGCATTTGAAATTTTCTTTGCCTCCTTTCTTAGTCAATCTTACTGCGTAAGACATGTCAAACAGTGCTCCAAGTTTTCTGAAGGGGCAATACTTAGACTTCATATGTTTACTGAGGCAGATATTGCGGATGCGGCAACAACTGAAAAACAAAATAGATGGTTTCATGTCTTTCGGTGTGTCTTTTTACTGAGTGCTACAAAACCAAAACCGTGTCATGCATATTTGTTAGGATAAAAAGTTTCGAGAATTTGTTCGAAACGATGAAGCTTACCATAGAATCTCTATGGCTCATTGAAAGAGCATCGGTTAGCGGACTCGGAGGTCTGAAATTCGACTTTTCATGAGGACTCAGAATTTTTTGTCCCACGCCCGTGGCAAGACGAAATAACTTCTTTCTCTATTTCCTTAACGAGCTAAAGAATGTAACATCATTCTAATCATTAGAACGATGGTAAATTCTTTAGCTCTGTAGGGAAGTTTTATTCACACAATAAGTTCTATATAAGTTATATGAAGTTCTGTTCATACAATAAAAGATGCCACAGAGGGCCAATGGTGAATATCATATGACATACATTTTAGAGGTCATTAGAGTAGGTAAACATTGATAGCCATGGTGATTGGTTGAGAGAACGGCACGGATTGTAAGAACAATTGCAGGAGGAAGTAAAGCTAGACTATTGTACTCCTAAATTAATCACGACCCTAAACTAAATATTGTTCCATCGAAACCAAGTCCAAATATGCAAATAGAGTTTCAAACTGACCATAGTCAAACGGAATGAATCATATTTTTTCACACCGCGGAGATTTCAACTGACCAACCTCAGCCAAAAGCCCTTGCTGCAGGGTGAACGAGCAAACGGAAAGATAAAAAAAGAAACATATACGTTTGATAAAGAGAAGAAAAAGCAAACAAAGTAATAAAAACAACATTGTATAATTCATTTACTTGTCCACTTTGTCCATGATGTGCAATTTTCCATATCGAGGACGTAATCCAAATCGAGGACGTTTCCCACGTCTAAGATGTTTTCCAACCCTAGTATATTTTCCACCCCTAGGACGTTTTCCACCTCTAGGACGTTTTTCACCTTTAGGACGTTTTCCACCATTAGGACGTTTTCCAACTTTAGTATGTTTTCCACCCCTAGGACGTTTTCCACCATTAGGACGTTTTCCACCTCTAGGACGTTTTCCACCTTTAGGACGTTTTCCACCTCTAGGACGTTTTCTACCTTTAGGACGTTTATCACCTTTAGGACGTTTATCACCTTTAGGACGTTTTCCAACTTTAGTATGTTTTCCACCATTAGGACGTTTTCCACCTCTAGGACGTTTTCCACCTTTAGGACGTTTTCCACCTCTAGGACGTTTTCCACCTTTAGGACGTTTATCACCTTTAGGACGTTTTCCAACTTTAGTATGTGTTCCACCCCTAGGACGTTTTCCACCATAAGGACGTTTTGCACCTCTAGGACCTTTTCCACCTTTAGGACATTTTCTACCTCTAGGACGTTTTCGAAGTCTACCAGAAGGAGAACGTTTTCCATATGGAGTACGTCCACAATGACAGCCATAATCTTTGTACTCAGAGGGATGTCTGCCAGTGCCCACGGAAATCATCAACTCGTAGGATAGAAAACCCTTTGTGAACTTCTTTTTTCCTTTATCTTCTGTTTTGAAAAACAATTTATTTTATTGTTATCACACATCTAGATACACACTGTTCCTTTCCATGAAGTTCTCTGTGTGGAGATAAGGCTTATTCTTATTTTTGCGATTGTTTTGAAGAGAAAATTATGGGAAAATCTCCTCTTGACTTGGTATAATATTTTATCGAGTAGAAAAAAGTGAAGAAAGCAAATAAGAATATTATGTATGTCACTTACTTGTGCAACTTACCCTGATGACTGGAAAAACCAATTCGCACCAAGTTTTGGCATTATGGAAAAGGATTCTTTCATAATTTTACAGCGCGTCAAAGGTTTTCAGGACTTAGCGGCAAATGAGCGAAATTGAAACTATCTTAACTGACCTTCAGCTCATGGTGTGTCGTTTGTTTGTGATCTCAAAATTCTACTTCATCTCAGTCTCAAGGTTTTATTAATTTGTTTTTTCGGTTTTTCAAAAAGAAAAAAAAAAACGTTTTTCATAGGAGAGGGGGGGGAGGTTGGGTAAAGATATAAGATTGCCAGTGGATATCTTGTTTCTAATCAATAGCAATATACGCTTCTCCAAAGTGGAGGACGAAATCAACAGTTTAAGTGGGTAATACAGGGGAAACTATATTATTCCGCTTAGTGTGAAAAAAAAAACAGCATTCTTGTTGAAAATCTGTGCGATGACTGCATAAAGAACCCTTATGTAGCTCCAGGAAAAAAATAATTTGTGTTGTTGAATATTCAGTTGTTTTTATTTAGAGTTTTACACTGAAGAGTTGTTTCCATGAAAAAAGATGAACAAAACTCAGCACACTTACACCGATTGTTTTTGGATGGGTCTGTCTTTGGGAAGTTAATAACGCTAGCTATAATTCATTAGATTTGTCATCGACGAATAATTAAATGACATGTATATGTATGGGACTTGGTTATTGGTTAGTGATACTTTTAAGTGTGTAAGCAATTCATTTCGATCAGAATTGTAATTTCCTCACCTAAAACATCTGACGTTTCTTCCACTTCCTCACCAGACTCAGCTTCTGAGTCGTTGGTTTCGTTTTCATACTGTTCAAGATCTTTAAAAAGAGAATTTACAGTTATAGTAACAGGTACAGTAGAATGGGGATCCCTCCTAGGGAGGGTTACAAAACATACACATTGACGCAAGTAGTAAATTATGCCAGTTTAAAACGTACCTTAGACACAACGAATGCCTTGAGAAATGGCGCCACACGGGAAAAAAATCCCAAATATTAATCATTTCATTGATGGCCATTAGTTATCAGGAGATGAAGAGGATGCTTTGAACGCCAAAAAAACAACGAGAACACTTTTATTTGGCCAACATAAATCAAGTGTTGTGTTTAAAATGCAGTTTAACTGAGTGGTCAGTTGAGCAAATTTTTTGCGCAGGTTTTTGACCAATCAGGGCGCTCGTAGTTTCTCCGCTCTTTTTCAAGAAAATGGCATTTACCGGTTAAACAAACTCTGGGTGGCTCTTTGTCAGGTCGAAATTGGAAAAGGGAGTGTTGGTTCATCAACGTAAGATTGAATAGCGAAGTAGTTTTACTCCCCGAGCAGCCGAATTAGAGAGAATTTAAATGCTTACGGCTTATGAACATGCAATGATGTTGGAAGTAACGCCATCAGCCAACAAGCGGACATCTTTCTATAGTTATTATAAATTTCAGCAATGGTCTTTGTTTTTATGCTGAGAAATACAATATAGAAGGAATGAAGGGGAACAAAGAAAGCTGTAACCTTTCGTATCAATTTTCTTGTGATCATTATGTAACTTTACCTGTACCTAGTTGGTTTTCATCAATCAAAACCGGCTCTGTGTCTTCATCTGCGTCTTCACTCTCTTCCTCAGCGCTTCCAACTACTGTCTGGTCAGGATTTATCTCTACATACCGAGAAAAGTAAACCAATAATCAGAAATACATCAAGGCAGGTGGTTTCTTGTAGGGTTCCCATGGGATAGCTGGTAATTAAATTGAATTTGGATTTAAAACAACGTGGCATGTTTCCTAATCGAGAGATATCGTCATTACCAACATAAACCTTGCTGTCAGCTTAGTTGGAAGCTAGGGTAGCAAAGAAAAGTGTAGAGTACCTTACATTCCGACGGGGTAACGGAAGTGGCACCTTACCTTCAAGATCGAGGCCAGATTCACCAAAGGCACTTTTCACATGGACGGCTCCGAAGAGCAAGAGTATCACAAAAAATAACTTGATTGTCATTGTAACTCTGCAATGCGATTGGCTTTATATTAGTTTAAAGTCAATTTGAAGAACAATCATTTTTCTTTTGCAATCACCTAGCATGACAACAGACTGACTGAAAGATTATTGGCTTCCTTTGAAAAGCTGACTCGTTCCTTTACACACACGATACACTATGAACACTTTTGCTAGACAATAACTTATTGATAGAGAAAACATTTATGGTCAAATCGAAGGAGTAAGTAATCTTTTGTGATTCATTCCCTTCGTTTCTGTAAGATAACCCTCATTCCTGGTTTACCTAACACACTAACCACTGATAAACCAAATGAGAAATTATTCTTGGACGTATTTAATTATCATTGATCTTGCCGCACAACACGCAGTTAAGCCTGGGCTGTACCAGTATTTGTCAGGCGGACACGTTAGTCTACAGTGTATATCATGACACTTTTGTGATTTGCTTCAGTCTAGATGTTCTTGCTCCTTAGTGCATAAGGATCTTTATCGTATGAAAATAAAAACGTACAAAAACTAAACGTTTTCTACATAATATGTTCGAATTTAATACGCATTCGATAAAATTGAAGTGAGAAAGGTTCAGAAAAAAATGAGTAGTGAATTTTCTAACGATAAGTTAGTTTTTCCTATAGTATTATTTGAGTTCAATTAGAACTATAACTGCAAATAAAATAAAAAAAACTGCAAAGAAATTAACATTCATCCCAAAATGTGTCAATCTTTGTATTGATTTCGACTTCTTGATGAGATGGTAGCTGTAAATATATAACTCAAACGTTGAAATATCAATTATATGGACTATATGCAATCGTACAGGGTGCCAAAGGCGAAAAGCATAACTTACCTCTTAGGAGAATCTGTTTGAATGAGAAACTGTGTCAAATTTCCTGAATTAAATCATGAATTCTTGACCTCGTCCTGTAACCTTTAGTAATAATTAATTGGTCAGGTTGTAAAAAAGCTGTTTCTACAGTTTCCCATAAACAGCTACCTGGTATCCGCATTAATCGGCCACATGTTAATGACAGAACATCATGATCGCAAACAAGCGTAGAATACGATATCGACTTATGGAAAGAAGAACATAGAAACATGATGCATTTATTCAAGGGTAGTCACATCGTTCTAAGTTAAAGATTGGTAAGCAGTGACATGTGCTTAAGCGTACATAGAAAAGACGTGGGAAACGTCTATAATACTGCTTCTCGTAGTTCCCAAACAATCTAAAAAAGTTATTAACAAACCAAAGGAATGATAATTAAAACACCACCCTAATTAAGTTAACTTGAGGTTTGATCATAGTAGTGACTTGATGGAATAGAGCCAGGGTGTGGCAAACTTAATGAAATTTTTTTTTGTTTAAGATTGAAATACAACCTTCTAACTTGCAATAAATATGGAATAATTTTTAATGTCTTTAAAGGCCCATTTCCAACCTTGATGCAACGCGGTCGTTTGTTTTTGTTTTGAACCACCACTTTTATTTAAATAGCGCCTCTGATCGGTCAGTTAACTTTACTTGTCACGTCTCAAAATACCTTCTGCGTTTTCTCCGCTGAATTTTTGAAGAGTTTATTTAAATAATTCTTTTTAAAACAGTTCTATACGTTTTAATCCAGTATGTTATTAGATGAATCCATTGATTTTGTCGATTTTCCGAGGCAATAAACCCTTATGGATCGGTTATTGCTAAACAGGAACGCGAAAATCCTTGCGAGCATTTCGAAGAAGGCGAAAATGTTGATCCACCACGTTTTCATTCATTCCTTAGTTGTTTTTTAATTGAAGTTTGCCATCCTTGTTAAATAGGACCAAGGGTCAGCTGAAGTTTCCGACCCTTGGAGAGCAACTTGCGCTCGAAAGAGTGGTCGAGGTTGTTGTCCATGCAAAGCAGCAAATAAGAATTGTAACGCAAACTGTCATTGTCGTTGACGTTCCCGCAGTGAAGTGACTAAACTTAAAATAATTAAACGTCCGGCAGTCCGGTATTTTTCCATATTTCTCTTCGAAATCCAAAAAATATTTATACGAAAATGTTCTACCTTTTTTTACAATCCTCAAGCGCTTCCAGGCGGCCTAAAATTTCGAACTTGATGTTTTTCGCTGACCCTGTATACAGAGTACGAAGCCATCCAAGCGCTTGACACTTAAAAACTTTTCAATGACACGGCTGGACACGGTCCTCAAATAACTCCATATTTCTCTTTGAAATATACCAATTTTTCGTTGGAAAATATTCTACCTTCATTTACAATCCTCAAGTGCTTCTAGAAAGTGAAAAAATTCCAGCGTTGTCCGTTTCGCTGATCCTTGTACACAGAGTGCGAAGAGATTCAAGCGTGACACTAAGAATATTTTCACCGGGCAGTCTGACATTTTTCCATATTTCTCTTTGAAAAATATTAATTTCTATTGGAAATATTTTATCTTGATTTAGAATCCTCAAGTGCTTCTAGAAAGTGAAAAAATTTGAACGTTGTCCTTTTCGCCGACTCTGTTCACAGAGTAAGTACGAAGAGATCCAAGCGTGACACTTTAAAAAAAATTTTCTTTGGATTCTCCCAGACAAAATTCAAAATACTGCAAGGAAACTGTAAAATGACGAACGGAAAATGTATTTACCGTAACACAGTTGACTATATGTCCTGGATGGCTCTTGAGAAAGACGATTTTAGATGGGTCGCGGCGCGCGTTGCATCAAGGTTGGAAATGGCTTTAAACAATTCAGTCAACCAAAGCCAGTTATATTGTCACGTAAGTGTCTCCCATTCATTAAAGCTGAAATTGGTCAGGAATCAGTGAAAGGATATTGCCTTCCTGGTAAGGTTTAACGTGAAACAAAACTTCGTCTTCTGACAGATAGAAATGCTGAAAAAGATAGAAATTTATCCAGTTTTTCATCGTTTGATAAAATAATACAGACACGATATTCCTCCAGACACTTAATAACACTCGATTGATTTGATACGTCCAAAACAGAAATACGTAACACTCATTTTTAAATAATTGATGACAGGTGCCCTCCGTTTAGTTTATGCATTTCAACCTTAGTAATCTTGAAAGTTAAATTTTCTACTCTTCTTTTGATTTTCACTTGTTTATTGACAATGTTCTCTGACTGTTCAGTTCACCAAGTTGAGAGGTGTTTGGGGGGCAGCACTCGACAGCTACACGAATTTGTGAAAGAGGTCTCCCCTTAGACAGGTCCGCCTCTCGATCATCAGTTACCTTTTTTCATTATCCACCTGACAAATAGCACATTCATCGAACGCCAAAATAAATCTTCTTAGAGGCTACAGTGTAGTATTTGTCTCGGGTAAAACTTCCTTGAATAAGGAATAACTTGTTTGTCATCAGGATGAAAAAAAGACAGTAATTGTACAGAAGGGTGACAATCAACTGATTTCATTGAAAAATGAAAAGTGACAGGGCAATGGTAACTTCTTAACTTCTTATGCTTGGTCATCAAGCTTTTGATTAGGACTTTTTTCATGTATTCGCTCGAGAGTTATTGAGCGTGCTACCTTAATCTGAGAATCATTGGGAAAGTCCCTACAAAAACGTTGAAACAGTTGTATTCTTAATCACCAATTGAGACCTCCTGATAATTTTCCTTTAAAAAAATTATTGTCATCTGTTAAACTTCTTACGGTAACAAAATCAGAGAAATGGTACCAGCTGACTTTCTTAAGCTCGTCATAAATCAGAGCGCTAGCATATTCAATGTATGCCATAACTAACCATGCATCTATTAATACATAAACATATTTGAACGCCACTTCCACACTTTAACCCTTTATTGAATTTTGTTCTACACAGTCGTGAATACTTTTGGGAACTGGAATCATTTAAGACCGCATCTTCTTCTTACCAAAGCGAAGCTAGCCACGTGAACGCCGACACATTTTGGGGTCCATCTCCGCGAACTTTTTACGATATTTGTTCCTCATAAAGCAATTGACAGCTTTAGTATTACACTTGCACAGTTCTTTACGACAGCGATCATAACTTCGGTATTTGAAAGACGCTGAAAGAATAAAAAAGTATTGACGATGATAGCAATAACGATGCTTATTATGATGACGATGACATAACTAACAACGAAATATTCAATGTAGAATCGAAAACTTTTTCAAATTACATCCTCGGGCCTTTAACCTTATCAACTTGCAATGGAAGCCGCAATCAACGCCTTTGTAATAAGTTCGTCATAAGAGTCTCACTTTTGACATTTGACCATTTTACAAAAACGTTTCTGCTGAAGCCTGATAGTGAATTCATTATTATCATCATATATTTGAAAGATTTCTGCGTAAAAAATTTAGGTAAAAAGTCTCTTTCTCTACCAAGTCAATAGAGCCGGTTGGTTATCTAATTAGCCATCCTAGGTGGGAGTTTTGAGCTTACCGCATTTGAAATTTTTTTTTCCTCCACTCTTGGTCAATCCTGCTAAGTAAGGTATGTCAAATGGTGCTCCAATTTTTTTGAACGGGCAATACTTAGACTTCGTAAGTTTACTGAGGCAGAAATTGCGGATGCGGCAACAACTGGAAAACAAAATAGATGGTTTCATGTCTTTCTACTGAGTGCTACAAAACCAAAACCGTGTCATGCATATTTGTTTGGATAAACAGTTTCGAGAATTTGTTGAATGTGGATCTCGAAACGACGAAGCTTACCATAGAGTCTCTATGGCTCATTGAAAGAGCGTCAGCTATCGGACCCGGAGCCGAGTCTGATATTCGATTTTTCGTGTGGACTTAGAATATTTGTCCTACGCCCGTGGCAAAACGAAATAACATCTTTCTCTATTTCCCTACCGAGCTAAAGGATCGCTCGGTAGGGAAGTTCTATCCATACAATAAGTTCTATATAAGTTGTATAACGTTCTATTCTTACAATAAAAGATACCACTAAGGGCCAACAGTGAATCATGTGACATAGGTAAACATTGATAGCCTGGTGATTGTTTGAGAGAACGGCACGCATTGTCAGAACAATTGCAGGGGGAAGTAAAGCCAGACTATTGAAATCCTAGATTAATCACGAACCTCAACTCAATATTATTCCATTAAAACCAAGTCCAAATATGCAAATAGAGTTTCAAACTGACCATAATCAAACGGAATGAATCATATTTTTTCATACCGCGGAGATTTCGACTGACCAACCTCAACGTTTCATGGTCGTTGATAACCCAATAGCCCTTGCTATAGGGCGAACGAGCTAACGGATAGATTAAAAAGCAACATATACGTTTGAAAAAGAGAAGAAAAAGCAAACCAAAGTAATACAACAACATTGCATTATTCATTTACTTATCTACTTTGCCCATGATGCGCAATCTTCTATATCGACGACGTTTTCCACCTGTAGGACCTTTTCGAAGTCTACGTCTACAATGACAGCCATAATCTTTGTAGTCAGAGGGATGTCTGCCAGTGCCCAGGAAAATCATCAACTCGTAGGATACTAAACCCCTTCTGAACCTCGTTTTCCCTTTATCTTCTGTTTTGAAAAACAATTTATTTTATTGTTGTCACACATCTAGATAAACACTGTTCCTTTCCATGAAGTTCTCTGTGTGGGGAGATAAGGCTTATTCTTATTTTTGCAATTGTTTTGAGGAGAAAATTATGGGAAAATTTCCACTTGACTTGGTATAATATTTTATCGAGTAGAAAAAAAGTGAAGAAAGTAAATAAGAATATTATGTGTGTCACTTACTTGTGCAACTTACTCTGATGACTGGAAAAACCAGTTCGCACCAAGTTTGGCATTATGAAAAAGGATTCCTTCATAATTTTACAGCGCAATAAAGAGCTTAATGACTTTGCGGCAAATGAGCGAAATTGAAACGATCTTAACTGACTTTTAGCTCATAGTGTGTCATTTGTTTGTGATCTCAAAATCCTAGTTCCTCTCAGCCTCAAGGTATTCTTTGTTTGTCTTTTGTTTTTCGAAAAAACAAAAAGATTTTTCAAAGGAGGAAATGGGGGGAGGGGGGGAGGTTGGGTAAAAATATAAGATTGCCAGTGGATATCTTGTTTTTAATCTAAAGCAATCTGCCCTTCTCCAAAGTGGAGGACGAAATCAACAATTTATTAAGAGGGTAATACACGGGAAACTATATTATTCCGCCTAGTGTGAAAAAAAAATCAGCATAGTGGTTGAAAATATGTGCGATGACCGCATAAAGAACCCTTATGTAGCTAATAGCGATGAATAATTTAATGACATGTATATGTATGGACTTGGTTATTGGTTAGTGATACTTTTAAGTGTGAAAGCAATTCATTTCGATCAGAATTGTAATATCCTCACCTAAAACATCTGACGTTTCTTCAACTTCCTCACCGGACTCAGCTTCTAAGACGTTGGTTTCGTTTTCATACTGGTCAAGATCTTTATAAAGAGAATTCACAGTTATAGTAACAGTTACAGTAGAATTGGGGATCCCTCCGAGGAATGCTTACAAAGTATGAACATAGACGCAAAGAGTAAATTATGCCGGGTTTATAACGTACCTTATACTCAACGAATGCCCCGAGAAATGGTGCCACACGGGAAAAAAATTCCCAAATATTAATCATTTCATTGATGGCCATTGGTTATGAGGAAACGAAGGGGATGCTTTGAACGCCGAAAACAATAAGAACAATTTTATTTGGCCAACATAAATCAAATTTTGTGTTTAAAATGCAATTTAACTAAGTGGTCAGTTGCGCAAGTTTTTTGCGCAGGTTTTTGATCAATCAGGACGCTCGTAGTATCTCTACTCTTTTTCAAGAAAATAGCATTTACCTGTTAAACAAACACTGAGTGGCTCTCTGTCCGCTATTTTCAGGTCAAAATTGGAAAAGAGAGTGTTGTTTCATCAACGTATGACTGAATAGCGAAATTGCCGGGAAATTGTTTTCACCACTCACTTATCTCGTATTATCCTCTTAAAGGAGCTATTTGTTTTTACGAAGTAGTTTTGTTGTACACTGATAGCTGAGAATGTTGACAGTTAAATTTCCCTCATGTGATGAAGTTCTTGTAGTTTCTTGGCCAAACATTCCGCCAAAATTATCAATCTATGGCTCAAATAGCATACTTTTTGGTATATTTTGCTAAATGGAAGCTAAAAGTGCCGAAGACAATAATCATTGCAATGTATTTTGTCGGAAATTGGTACCGGTCGGAAACTAAAAAAAAAGGTTTAATAAATGTTTTAACTAATGAAACTCCATGAGCAGCCGAATTAGTGAGACTTAAGAGAGGATGTCAGAATCCATGGAACAAATTTGAAATATTGTGGCAAGTCGCCCAAAATTCGATTTCTCTTCTACTTTCATATTTTGTAGCCCAATATGTTCTAATAATTGTGGTGTACATACTTTTCCTATGTCGAAAAGTAGCATCAAAACAAAGACAGTTTTAACAATGACCGATATGACACAATCTACTGAGCCTCAAGCTTTTATAAGACCAAAGGATGGTTATAAAGTTACTGTAAAAATTTCCTTGTGTATTTGTGTTGTTCTTTCTTGAGACGAACTCAAAGTCCGGTAAAATTTACTTGATAGCGACTATGAAATGTACATAGTGCGCCTACTTGTCGCCACCGTTAATTGGCATAAATCACTACAATTTGTACAAAAGTCTAATATAACACTCTTATCTTGTTTATTTATGACTTTATAACGATCCTTTGGTCTTATAAAAGCTTGAAGCTCAATAGATTGTGTCATATCGGTCATTGTTAAAACTGTCTTTGTTTTGATGCTACTTTTCGACATAGGAAAAGTATGTCGGGCAAAAATATTCACCAAAAAATAAATATATCTTTGGCAGCTTCAATGACGACAGGGGATTAAGTTTTGACGATAAAACAAAGGATTATGTTCCCAGAAATACCGTAAGTCTAGTACACTCGATACATGAGGTCACACAACTCGGGTAGTAATCACGGTGCAAATTTGCATATTTGAGCGGTCGAACGAAAAAATTATTTCTCGAAAACTAAAATATATTTTAACAAAAAAACTACACCGCAATTATAAGAACATATTGGGCTACAAAATATAAAAGTAGGAGGGAAAACAAATTTGGGTGACTTGCCGCTGTTTGTTTGATGCATGCTGACATTAGCTCCTAAAATGCTTACGGCTTATGAACGAGCAATGATGTTGGAAGTAACGTCCTCAGCTAATAAGCTGAATAAGTAATTATAAATTTCAGCAAAGGTCTTTGTTATTATGCTGAGAAGTACAATATAGAGGGAATGAAGGGAAATAAAGAAAGCTGCAACCTTATGTAACTTAACCTGTGTCTAGATCGTTTTCATCAATCAAAACCGGCTCTGTGTCTTCGTCTCCGTCTTCACTCTCTTCCTCAGCGCTTCCAACTGCTGTTTGGTCTGGATTTATCTCTACATACCGAGAAAAGTAAACCAGTAATCAGAAATACATCAAGGCAGGTGGTTTCTTGTGGGAATAGCTAGTAATTAAATTGAATTTGGATTTAAAACAACATGACATGTTTCCTAATCGAGAGATATCGTCATTACCAACATAAACCTTGCTGTCAGCTTAGTTGGAAGCAAGGGTAACAAAGAAAAGTGTAAAGTACTTTACATTCCGACAGGGTAACAGAAGTGGCACCTTACCTTCGAGATCGAGGCCAGATTCACCAAAGGCACTTTTCACATGGACGGCTCCGAAGAGGAAGAGTATCACAAAAAAAAACTTGATTGTCATTGTAACTCTGCAATGCGATTGGCTTTATATTAGTTTAAAGTCAATTTGAAGAACAAACAGTATTTTTATCTAATCACCTAACATGAGAACAGACTGACTGAAAGACTATTGACTTCCTTTGAAAAGCTGACACGTTCCTTTACACACACGATATACTACGAGCACTTTTGCTAGACAATAACTTATTGATAGAGAAAACATTTATGGTCAAATCTTAGAAGCAAGTAATCTTTTGTGATTCCCTTTCTTGGTTTCTGAAAGATAGCCCTCATTCCTGGCCCAAGGTTTATCTAGCACACTAACCACTGATAAACCAAATGAGGAATTATTCTTGGCTGTATTAATTTTCATTGATCTTGTCATACAAAATTAAGCCTGGGCTGTACCAACGTCAGGCGGATACGTTAATCTACAGTGTATATCATGACACTTTTGCGATTTGCTACGGTCTAGATGCTCTCGCTCGTTAGTGCTTAACGATCTTTATCGTATGAAAATAAAAACGGACAAAAACCGAAATGTTTTCTACATAATACGTTCGAATTTAATAGTATTTAATCAGTTCAATTAGAACTATAACTTCAAAGAAATTAACACTCAGCACAAAATGTGTCAATCTTTGTATTGATTTCGACTTCTTGAGATGGTAGCTGTAAATATATAACTCAAACGTTGAAATATGAATTATATGGACTATATGCAATCGCACTGATGCCAAAGGCGAAAATTATCACTTACCTCTTAGGAGAATCTGTTTGAATGAGAAAATGTTTCAAATTTCCTGAATAAAATAATAAATTCTTGACCTCGTCCCGTAACCTTTGGTAATAACTTATTGGACAGGTTGTAAAAAAGCTGTATTCTTATTTGCCCATAAACATCTACCTGGTATCCGCATTAGGGTTAATGTCAAAACATCATGATCGCAAACAAGCGAAGAAAGCGATATCGACTTGTGGAAAAAAGAACAAAGAGACATGATTGCACTGATTCAAGGGTAGTCACATCGTTCTAAGTTAAAGATTGGTAAGTGGTGACATTTGCTGAAGCTTACAAAGAAAAGACGTGGGAAACGTATAGAATACTTCTCCTCGTAGTTCACAAACAATCTAAGAAATTCATTAACAAACCAAAGGGATGATAAGTAAAACTCCACCCTAATTAAATTAACTTAAGGTTTGATTACAGGAGTGACTTGATGGAACTAGTGCCAGGGCGTGGCAAACTTAATGAAATTTTGTTTGTTTAAGATTGAAATACAACCTTCTGGCTTGCAATAAATATAGAAAAACTTTTAAATGTCTTTAAACAATTCAGTCGACCAAAGCTAGTTATATTGTCACGTAAATGTCTCCCATTCATCTAAGCTGAAGGTAGTCAAGTCAGGAATCAGTGAAAGGATATTACCATTCCTGATAAGGTTTAATGTGAAACAAAACTTCGTCTACTGACACGCAGACAGAAACTTATCCAAGCTGAAAAATGTGTACAGACAAGTTCCTTCCCGTGTCATTTATTTATTTCTTACACAGGTGTTTGTCATCGTTCGATAATGATAACAACAGAAAACATAATTTTCAAGAGATTTTGATATTCATCATCGGGCTGATGTTTATCATCTTTACCTTAATATACGCTCTTTTGGTTGATTGATATATCCAAAACAGAAATATGGAACACTCATTTCTAAATAATTAATAACAGGTGCCATGCGTTTAGTCTATGCGTTTTAACCTTACTTTACGGGTTATCACATTTCTTGCATATGCCATCATGGTTACTAGCCACTGAATTGTAATTTGCTTCTGCAAATATCTGGTAGAAGACAAATAGCGAATTGCACAACAGAGTTTGGTTATGTGAAAACAGGTTTTGCCTTCACAAATAAACGGACGGACGGACGGGGACAACTCTTAAAAACTCCTTCTGGGTAAAGGCTTTCCTTGGGGGGCACTCGCTGGCTGCGGGAAGGACCGGAATCTATTATGGCTGCTGACTATCCTTGAGAGAATAGGGACCTTAAGCAAACCACGACGGCGACGGCAACGAGGACATGAAAAAACAAAAGATCTAATTGGCAGAACAATAACTCAGCACGTGCGTTTTAAAACTTTGTACATTTCCTAGCCGTCCTATGCAAAACAACAACGTGAAATCACCACAACTTGCGTCCTCTGCGAACCGAAACCGCGACGGCAAATCATTTTAATTTCCATTTGGAACTCAAGGCTTCTCTTAAACGTTATGCTGAAGTAGAGGTGTGGCGCCGTATGAGACGGTAAACACATGCAGCCATTTTTTAAATTCAATTAAAGGCAGAAATTCATTTTTTGAATCGAAGTCTTCCTAGGCGTTGCCATCGTGACTGCTTAAGGTCCCTAATGACTAACAACAACAGGGTTGGCTCCAACGTAGATTTATTCTGCAAGCTCTACTACAATTTTGACAAGAACGGACCTGGCCAGGGCTGGTTCGACCCTCCTCTTCTCTTCTTCTCTTTTTTTTTTTTTTTTTTTTTTTTTTAAAGCTTTACAAAACAGTTCTATTTAAACCTAACGTACATGGATAAGGTAATACCACGAATAATCTAAAGAGTCATGTAATCTACTACACTATTGGCTAAGCAGGAATTTCGCCTTTTACAACATTAATTACTTTCAAAGAGTTCCGGTGGATGACAACTACGCAAATGGACATGACAGGTGGCTGTTACAGTTTAACACTAATAACAACTGTTTACGGGTGACTGAAGGAGAACTGGTAGCGTTTACACTTTGCTGAACTAAGCTTTCTACGTTGAATATTATATTTTTTAAGCGCAAGCATGAAAGAACTCGATAACTAAAAAATCATATCGTTAAAGTTATCCGACAAATAATTGATCACAAAAGGTTTACTCTTAAGGTCAAATATGGCCATTTACGTCTTCAGTTAGAGTTGAAACAAACATAGACTGGGATTTCCTAACCTTCACTATAGTTTTAAATTAAGCTTTTCATTTGAACAAAGTGCTATTTACAACCCATGTATTCCTCTCCTATGTATCTTCTTGATCATAGTTTACATCTATTTCTAAAGGTTATTCTGTGACTTTATAAGAATCGAACAGCAGAGAAGACCCATTTAAGGTACTTAAGGGAGGAAAAAGATTGCAATGAATTCAATTTTAAAAGTTGTTTTTATTAATCTTTACGACTGCAAAGAAAAAACTTTTTTTCAACGTGCTGAAAAATTTCGTTTCAGTTCTTCCGTGGCGAGAGTCAAGGTGATTGTCCTCATTCTATTGGGCACCATTACCTTGCAAAATGCTCAAGCAGAATCTGGGTCCAGCTTCGAAGGTAAAATGTTTGGCCGCAAAGATATATTTAACATCCAATATTCGTGTGCAAGTTAATTCCCTTCCTTTAACTGATACGTTTAAAAATTAAAAAAAAGACGGTTGGAAGATGATTTTCAGCCTCGAGGACTTCGAGCCCATGCTTTGAATTAAAAAAAGTTTCTGAAAATTTTTTTTCCAGAGGGGAACATCATCGAGGCTCATTCCCAAATAGCGGATGAAAATGAAGAAGACTCACCAGAAGCTCTGGGTGCGTAAGTAAGGCTATGATCAACCTGCTTATTGTTTCTACTCTATCTTGCTTTTTTTTCTCAATAGACGTATTTGTGACCTTAATCAACAATTTTTAAGAGCATCAAATTATTGTGCTTGAGTGATGGAAGGCCAAAGCGTTTCTCATAAAAATTTAGTCTGCTAAATCTTTAAAAAACAGGTCGATGAGTAATTTTGAGATGAAAAGACCTATTCAAAACCTTGCAAGAAAGATTGACCGGAGAAAGAAATGATATTTCTTGCGAAAAGGTCCGTTTTATGGCAGATGTATTTCAGGAAAATGTGATTTAAATGACAATGAAACAAATTGCTAATAAATAACAACATCGAGCAATTGTAAATTGACTGGTATGCCACAACAAAATATTTTATTTAAAGTAAAAGCAGTTGAAGACCTCTAAAAGTGTGTAATTTCTCATCAATTGATTGCAGTAGTGGGTTTCAGGATGTTAAAAAACTTATACATCAGCAATTCTCTTTTTCTCTACAGAAAATGATATAAGCAGATCGATCATAAGAGACATAATTTCTTTCGAGATGATGCTTTATCGAGTCACTGGTATAAATCCAGTTGTGTTCAGCAACTATGGCTGTTCTTATGGAGGAAAAGGAAAAGGAAAACCTGTTGATCGAATTGATGGGTAAAGACCTGTTCAGGTGATGTTAGTGAGATGATAAAAGTATAAAAGAGGCAAGTTTTTAAAGAAATTGTGGTGTTGCGCTAATGGGGGAGTATAACGAGGTAATTTTGTATTATCAACTTAGATGGGAATGTAAATTGGCACCGTTAAGAGTTTAAGAGGTGACGTTTCGAGCGATGGCTCTTCGTCAGAGCGAAACTTCTAAATAATAAATGAATAATCTTGATGATAAAAGGATCCACAAATAGACGATCAGTTGAACGGCTCTACGTTAAGAAAGATATTATGTTAACCGAAAGATTGTCTCATGGCATTGGTTTCCAGGTGTTGCAAGCGACGAAACGATTGCTACTGTAGACTCCAAAAGGCCCAGTACCGCCCTTTCAAAAAGGAAGTATTTCCTATGCCGTATGTAACGCGTGTTCCCCCAGATGGGACTTAAAATCATTTTGATGTGGTAAGTTTAAAATTTATCAGTGCTTTTTTTAGTATTATCACTTAAAGAGGTTATAAAAATTGTAAATTTTAAATACATGTTTGAATAAGAAAAAGAACGAACGACCAAACTTACGAATGAAGATATGAATAAATACATGTAGATGATTAATTCAATAGCGAGTAAATAAAGGTGCAATTAACAAATAATGATGGCTAGTTGTCGTTTCAGGTTTTTTCTTTGGAGTTTTCAATGCTTTTATGCTTCAGTTATACAATATTCCTGCCTGAGGAATTGATTTCTGAGCTAAACAGTTGTTAGATTCCATTAGACCCTTATTTATGAAAAGCATGATTTTAATCTGTCTTTGCCATCTACTTCCAGTCAAAAAATATCCCTTGAGATCTTATCGCAGATGTCACCTTAAACTTTGTCTGTGTGACACAACGGTCACGAATTGTATCTAAAGGCTCAAGAGGAGAGGCTCCTCTAGAGAAATATATTTGAATTACGACTAATAAAATATTTGATAGAAGAAAAAATATAAATTTCCTATAATTTTCTCTTGCTGTTAATTCTAGAGAACTATATGTGTTCATGTAATCTTGGAGGAATTTAATGTTATGTTAAGTAATTCAAGTTGTATACAATCCTTCTATTTTCTGCTGCCTGTCTACTGTTGTTATTCACTGTTTTTACGGGATTAAGTACCGCCCCATCCTTAAGTTATTGAAAAGTCATGAAAAGATACATCGTAGAACAAGCCAGTGCAAATAGCGAGTCCAATTTCCCCATAAAAAGTGGAACACTATAGAACCCTATTACTATTTACTATTCTAGCCATGTTGACTAATTTGTCATATGAACCAAAATGTTTACCTGCCTGCTGGTGCAATTTAGTGGAAGTCATGTTTTTATTCAAAACTGATAGTGGTTCATAATCAGAGCCGTATGCGAATAAAAACTTTATATTTTGCGTTATATTGTCTAACCGAAAGCAAATTTGAAGCACCTGTACGGGTACGAAGTACTCTAACCACGAAGATCAGTCAGATCTGCTCAGTGCTTTGTCACAGCTTGATTTTTCACAACTCGGACGGGTCATTCTATTAAACTATCGTACTTTTCTGTACTTAGATATTCGTGTTGTGTGAGGAAGTATTGTCTTTTGTCTCACGGTAATCATATATTATATATATGGGTATTTTTGCTGGTAGTGATACAAGACAAAATAGGGCAATCTGTACACGTGGTTAGATGTTTCCATAACTCCCTTTGTTTATTCGTCTTACGCAGAGTTTGGTATCCACGTAAAAACATTTGCATTAATTACATTAATTTGATCAGTATATGGCATCCTCTTTGATTGCATTAATTGTTTTATGACCTCAGCAAAAGTTATGATTCGATACTGACCGAGGCATTTTATTGGTAGTCTCTCAGGACCTTATTCTCACTATTTCTGCAATTTCAACTCAACGCTGAAACCGTTCTTGAGATTTTTGAAGACGTGTATGTTTCCTCTTCCAGGAGGAGATGAATTCACACGCTTTACTTCAACACGCGGTTGATAGCCAGCCGGAGATCCATGCAACGTTTGAACGCTTCATCAGAGAGTTTCACGTTCACATCTACTGATAAGTTGACCTCAACCTCGATATCACCACTTTCAAGTTCATAGAATTCCTCCTTGTTGATGTCACCAGATGTTTTCGGCGTCTTCCCGACGTGAAGGGTAGCTGATGCTTAAAAAGGGGGTTGTTGGATTGTCTTCGACCATGATTCGACACTGTTTGGTCACTTTGGTGATTAAACCATCTTTAGGGAGTTCTGCTGTGGGCTGAAAGATAACATAGCCGTATAGTGGTCTCGTGGCTGCGTTAGTTTTGGGAGACATTCCAAATTTTTCCACGTGTGCTTTCTCGTCCTGCTGAAGAACCATATACAGCTTAAAATTTCCTTTTCTGTCCTGACGATTCCAGAGAGCGCTGGCAGTGCTTGTGTAAGAGTCTATTTTCAGCAACACAGCGTACTCGTACTTGGCATTCGTGGAATTGTGCTCTAGCCAGGCTGTTGCATAAATACCGCTGCAGCAGACAGCAGCTATAGTTTGCGAATTTTGAATCTGGACATGTAACTTGATCCTGGAATGTAATAACTGTTGCCTTTGGTGTGGACTAAAGTAGTATACCCATCTTTCGTGTTTTTAGAAAGGGGGTTTACAGCTTCGAATAGATCTGAGCTGTCTTTGGTCATGCCTTCCATTTTAATGGAAAATTTAGACGCATCTCTAACTAGTTTGTCTTGAAACAGTGTCGTTCGCGCCTTGGTTGCTGTTCCGCCATTATCTATTTTAATGTTGCTTCCAAGACAGACTAAAACGTTTTTGAAAAAGAAGACAGACTTTTTAAAGTGAAGTTTAACTTTTGGATACGGATGATCCTCGTAAAAGAATTGATATTCTGTTTGGTGGAAGTCCATGCCGAAAACTCCGCTGGATAACGGCTCTGGTCCTTTATAGGAAACCCCACCGGCATAGGAAGGTGGCCTAATCTGCCATAAAGTCAAAGTCATCGTCGTTGCTCCAGGAACTTTTGTCCAGTCTCATCCGTTTTCTATATCGTGAGCTTTTAGCGCCTCTTCACTATTTGCTATCAACATTGAACCATGGCTTTGAAAGGTACCAAAGGCATTTTCTGGTGTTTTCTTCTTTGTGGAGCCCTCAAAGTCCCAGACACAAACCTATCGAAACCTTTCACTGTGACAGCCCAGTCCTTACGACGATGTATTGAGAGAGCAGCAAAGTTCTTGGACCAGTGACCTTCAGGAGAGGGTTGATAGGTTGAGGCTTTCGACTTAAGCTGTAATGGAGGATGAATTATATCGAAAGTATTATTAGAGATTTCTTTGGAATTCTATTTGAAAGTTCTTCTGAATAAGAAACACACTTCATGTTGTCGATAAAAATTGTTTTTCAGTCTAACCAGTGTTGAATTTTGCAACAATACTCATGTGACAGACACAAAAATGAATGATTTAGAGAATAATACATGGGCGCTCGTATATATGGAATTTCTCTTGATAGCATACGAGTGAGATGTCGAGTTGAACATGAGAGAAGAAATTTCAGATCTACAAGTAATCATCTATTTTTTCCAGGGCTGGAAATCCTTGTATGACAACGTAGCTTATATGATAAATTCTTTTTACAACCCTATTGCTTCAGGTGTCTGTATCGAAAACTCATTCTTTATACGTAGGTCATTTAAATTAGTAAGTTTACCGCACTCATTATCTTCAGGCATCCAAGACTGTTCATGTACGATTTACCCCTCTTAACCCGTCCATCTTCTAGGTACTTTTTCACGTTTTTGTCCATTGCTTCATACAAACGCAGAAGCATGCCTTCTTCTCTGGTGTTTGTAATACTTATTCCTTACGGTGACTGGGGTGAATAGGAGACACTGATGCATACATACGCTAGAAGGATACTTATCAGAGCCTCCTTTGAAAAGTCTGGGAAACGTCCTCCAACACTGCTTGGGGTAGAGTACTTCACGGATATAAGCCTCATTGTTTTGAGAGCCTCAAGTAAATTTCGTTTAGATGCATCTGATAAAGCAAAGCGTGTTCCTTCCAAAAGATATTGCACTTGTGCTGCTGTGTGCAAAGCATGTGGAGCGTAGGCAGATGCATAGAACGCTTTGTGATGAAAACCTGTATAATCAGGTTTGATGACCCCTCCAAATGCTTTGTTGATATACAGAGCGTTATCTATCCACTTTTTCAAAGCATCCATATCCCTCTGCCTTTCCTTTTTTTCCATTTCTGTGGTAGCAGGCATCGCCAAGACAATCATCAATCGGAATAGCAATATTGTGATTATGCTGTCGGCCGTCGTTCCTTTGAACTCGAATTTTGATTGATAAACTTCTCCAAAATCGTTGTACCATTTGGCAGTGTTTATCTGGTTTCATTTCTTGGGTCCTGGTGTAAAGAGTTCTTTAGAAGAAAAAGAGTGTACGTGTATATCCAGCACCAACTCCATTCATTTGATGATCAAGGGAGCCTATTCCACTTCCATCCGCCCATCCTTGATCTTCAATCAAGTCAAGTAGATTGAGTATTCTCTAAAGGTGTGCTTTGTTGATAAACTGCAGTGATTTACGGACGTTGTTTTCGGTACAAGCCAGAGTACTGAGATAGTTTCGGAACTCATCACTCATCCAGAACACAGTTTGGACTTCTCTTTATTTACTGTCTTAGTTATCTCGTTGGGACGGGACTTAAGGTAATACTCGAGAGCTAGAGGCAACATAATACGCATAATAGCAAAGCTGAACTTTCTGGTTGGATCAGTTGCTGAATATGTCCTTGTCCCCATTTTACAGTTACGACAAAATAATGGAGGAGCGGTGATCACGATTTTAGTGGAGCCAGGAGAACTTGAATCGGGCTTATTCGTAAATGTTAGTCTATCGTATTCTTTATGGGCATCATCGAAGCTCTCCTTTAGGGCATTCGAACGTTTCTTCATCTCTCCCATGAAATCATAAGTGGTTTGTGTCTCATCAGCAAATCAGTTATGTAAGCGACTTTCAATGTGAGCAAGGTGAGTAGTCTTTGAAGAATCGACAGAGGTCGGAAGAGCAGATGGTGTCTGCTGACTCCAGCGATAAGTCTACTGCCAAAAGTTACTGGAATCGTACTTTGAACCAAATTTCGTGATAGTTGTAACAATCTTATCGCGAGATTGCTTGGACATTTATTGCCACAAAGCCAAGTAAATCTATGTAAATGGTATCTTCATGGTTTAGAACAAAGTCCATCCTTGTAATCGATGAGGAACCTGTGAGGCTGTCTCTAGTTTGTTTGCATTCATCGAATGACATCCATATTCCTCTCCAGCCTGAAAATCCTAGGTTGATTTCAAAAGATCCTACCCGCGTAACCTTTTTCTTCTTTTTTTTTTTTCTGCCAGCCTTACTTCCATCTTGCTTCCACTAGAAGGAGTATCCTTGTAGATCCACATTTTAACACCTCCTCCTCTAAGTTTCTTTCCCTTGATGTGAGCCGATTTTGGAAGCTTGTACCTTAACTTAGATTCTCCGTTCGCACTCGATTCCCATTTAAGTGATGTTGTCCCGTGTTTGGCCACTGATGTCGAGAAAGAAATCTTTCCTTGTGTTTTCGGCACTGCAACGAGGCAGCTTTGCTCAACTGTGTCTTCGAAATCTAGTATCTTGTCAGGACGCTTTCCTGTCAATTGTGTTAAAGAATAAATGGGAATCATTGTATGAATAAAATGGGTAGATGAAAATAATTCACCTAGCGCATTATTCGATTCCTACATTAAATTTGATTTACGCTTCAATTTAACTGCCACACGAATAATTGCATGAATCCCTTTAATTTAATGTGCTCAAAACCTTTTTAGTACTTATTCTGTAAACTTCAGAAGGTTCCGCTTGTCGAACAATAGAGTCTAGACTGTGTGATTGTGTGAATTAAAGAAAATTACTGACCGCACTGTTTACTCCAAGAACGTGGATATTTGGCGTTTGAAGTAGTATCCATGCTAAAAAAAACTTATTATGCTCGGCTTAAGAAACATACCAGCCGCCTGATCTATCAGCAACAAAGCTAGACCAGTCAGAATGAGAAATGAAAATCCTGAAGTTCTTCTCTTCACAGACATTTTTCCTTAAACAAAAGTATACAACAGAAATATATTAACTTGATTTTAATCATTGAACAAAGATAAACCGTAGCAATTTCGTAATTCGTTTTGCAGAAATATATAATCATTTCAGAGAGTGCGTAAAACAAACCTTCATATGTTAAAGAAAGTATTCTAGCCACACATATTTTTTAGTTTGTATGGAAAAACGGAGAATGACAAACTTGGAAATATGCAGTAAGCGAACTTTAAAAGTAATCTTGTATATACGCTACTAGTAGACCTTATTTTCTTTTAATCGCATTCATTTGTGCCTCTACGAATTCACCTTTCATGGGTTATGAGGAAATATGGGGTACAAATTTCAGTGTTGAAGCTTTCATTTCTTGGTCTTGTCTCAAGCGTGGGAAAATTAAAAGAAGCTGTCGAAGAATCAATTTCTTTCAAACGATTCTCACATCTTTAGGGTACAAATTAAATTTGAAATATCATCAACTCTTTGAATTCTTGATAATGATATTTAATTTGGGAAGTATTCGCCTGTCAAATTTTGAGAGGTTACCGGCAAAAGAAATTGTTGTTATCCGTGGACTTTTCTTGTAGGTCTACAGTTTACAACTCTTCTGTTTATAACTGATGCTTGTGATGCTATGGGGCTTTGATTTGTAGTACGACATTGTAAATAAGGGTATGAAACTATGAAACTGATGAATGCCGAGCTGTTGTTCTTCTGGAAGGTAATTTTTCTCAGTTATTTACTTTTACACAAGGCAGTCACCTGCCCAACTTTCATTGAAGCTTAGACATCAATAATATCTTAATATAAGGTGTGCCATTTCTTGGACACGGAAGTGTTAATAGAATAAATATGTTAACTCCAAACTCTTTGTGCTTGCGGATCACTTTGTGAGCGCTTGGCGGTCTTTATTGGCACCTTTTCTCAAGGGGGAACCTCCATTAGTACAGGTGGGATTTTTCCTGTCAAATTTTGAGAGATCACCGGCGGTAACATTGTCATTACTCATTGACTTTTCTCGTATGTCTTCTCAGTTTGTGTTACGTTGTGGCTACCATTTGCCATTTGTTAGAAAAGACATGTACTTGATGGATGCGAAATTATTTTTTCTTCGTGGAATTAAGGGATCTATTCCATCAAGCATATTAAGTTTTTTTTTTTAATAAATAGCAAAATTACTATTTTTAAATCATTATTATTTAAGCAAAGTAATAATAATGAAAAAAAAATAGAGACCGTCATTTCACACAAGGATTCATTGAATTGATCCCATCACTCATTTGTCATTATAAAAATATAGCTTAGAACAAAACGGGTGCCTACGTTACTAAAGAAAAAAACAATTATCGGTGCGTTGGATAAATAAATTTGTTTCAAGATCAGTTATGCATCCTCATTAAACTGAATGGTTTTCTTCCTCATAACATTTCACATATTTCGGCTAAGGCATTTTGTCTTATAAAGCATCTAGATTTTATTTGAAAATTTTTCCATTTCCTATTGTTGTTCTATCATTCTTCTCGACTTCAAAATGTGGATGACTAAGGCAATCGTCGTATCTGACTTGGAGGAATTTTTTTGTTATCAAACCAATTCGATTACATAAAAACTGGTGTACAATAAAATTGACTCACGTACCTTTGCTTATAGTATTGAATTTTCGGCGAGATATTGTTTCAGTTCTCTGTAGGGGTAGAAATATAATTCAAATTAAGAGGATGTAAAAATTTTAAAAGCTGATTTGCGTATGAAGATTGTTTATAAAGAGATTAGGTGATGACCAACTTACCGAACTTAACCAAGATAGCCGATTGATTGTTCAGTTAAAAAATGAACATCCTACCTTTGTTGGCATAAGGGAAACCTATTAGTAATGTATCCTTTTTGGTATCCAAAGATAAGACATTCTATTAAAATAAAACTATTTGAAAATGTTTTTGCAATCCAGTCATGGAAATCGTGACGTTCTCTGATCACCTGAGTACCAACTTATAACGAAATCTGTTTTCATTGACAAAGCAGTTCAAGATCACAAAAAATTATTGTCCATGTCTGTTTGTAAAACGGCAATGAGGAAATAATGAACGAGAATTTGGTTTGATATGGAGGAAATTTTTATTTTCCGAAAAAACGGACAACTCTCACTAATTTTTTGTGCAAAAGTTGAAAAGAGACTAACTTGAATTTTTGAAATAAATTCAACGAACTTTAATTTTAAAGATTGACTTTGGAATGGTTTATTGACGGAAAATTTTTTATGTTAGAGTTGGTCAGTTGGCGAGTTATCACCGTGAACTGTATTTGAGGTAAGACACACTTTCACTAAAAGACTAACTTTTTAATGCGAGAAATGCCTTAGTCAAAATTGACAGTATGCTTCTCATTGTCAAGAAAAGAACTTAGTTAAGAGATTTATATTTTTTCAGCTTAAAATATATGGCTTATTGACAAGCGAGAGTTTAAGACAGCTGGATATTTATTAGCAAACACCGGATATTTATTTATTAAGAGAGATTTGTTTCTTTTGAGAGCTGGGAAAGAGAGTCAACTGTAGCACAACAAATCCACCAGAGTCGTTTGCGTTTTCTTTGTTTTGACTTTCCTATGCCGCTTTTTGCGTCTCCATCACCGGAATTGTTCAAGCATTTCTAAAATAGCTTTTTAAGTCCGCTCCACGCATTACTTTTTTTTGCAGGGGTCCATTCTATATCTACACAATATCATGAAAACAAGTGATGGGAATAAAGAAAAATTATAGGATTACTAATTGATCCGATACCAAATTCTCCAAACTAACCTAATGAGAATGATTTTGCAGACAGTTAGGAGAATTACTAATGAGATCTTGGGAGTTAAAGGGTCAAGATGATGACTGAATACTCGTAAGATTTTGGCAGAATGTTTTATTCCAAATATAGGAAATTACCGAGGGAGAGATTGATGGTCTCCTTAACGTTGACAATAGTGCATACGTAATCCCATATATTTGCAGATAAGTTGGTTTTATTCACTGATGATGTGAATTGGCTATCTTTCAGAGATTCTTGGGTCTCATTATGGTGGCCAGTTTACTCTAACAATTATGTGTAAAACGCTTCACCACCTCGGAAAAAGAGAATATCGCCCCATACAACTGGTGAGCAAAGAGTTAACTCAAGCGAGCAATATTTGAACATAGGAGGCCTCTAGGTGTCGCCCTGTTTGACGAACGACTAATTTGAACATCTTTTAACTTACCTGTACAGGAGCACGTCGGAAGGCCAAGGTATCATCCATGTACGACCGCAAAAAGCAGTATTGGAAATAATTCGCGTAAGAGTCAACATAACGACCTGTTTCGTTCGACATAAATTTATCTTATTGTTAGCACATCTGTTACTTTTTTTCGCCTGGCTGACTCTAACGAGCTTGCACTCTCTTATCTGGCCTGAGAAAAGATTGCTTTTCTGATTCAAAAATTTGTTGTTCTATCACTTACTATACCATATTTGAATGTGTCATCACCGTTAGACATCTTGGTAGGAGACAATCAAATATTGGAGGTAGGTAACGAATGTGACTTATTAGGGACAAATCATAAAAATTACATTTTGGTTTTAAAGTTCATTGTTATCGAAGTTAAAATTGAAACATAAGTTGACAGTGGTAGACTGCGTGTTGTCAAAATTTAAAATGAGAAAAAAAAAGCGTTTAAGGAAAATGAAAAACTATCAATCTAGTACAATGAGCTCAATATCTCGTACGCTCCTTTATGCTCTTTGATTAAACTATTTGCCATTTGCTTTCGTCTCAAGGACGTTTTTTCCTCTCGCAATAATTCATTCTTCTCACTGAGGTCACCTAAAGCAGGTTAGAGCACTTTGACTCTAAGATTCGCGAATATTTTTTCAAAATCAGGATCATCACTTTCTTAGGCGATACGTTAATTTCATGGAAATAGGATCGTAGAGGTAGAGGTGCGACTTAGAAGTTGTTCGCAACATAATGGAGCTTTATGACTTGAGACAGCTTAATCCAGTTTATCCAGTTGGTAGGGAGCATATAAATGTGCAATAATTTCCCCAAATAATAAAAATTGTACCGTTTATTGTTATTTGAAAAAAAAGTAAGGGAAGTCCATGCATGGCGTCAGCTTAAAGGCTGGAGTTCCGAATTCCGATTCATTAGTACGATTACACAAACATTTAAAAATTGAATATTGGATCGTAAATAACTTTTGTATGCCTTGCAAAATATCTTATTTTAAATGTGTGAGCATTTAAGACTCAATTGAACTCTTGTAGAGACATAAACCTTTCGGATTGTTTCTTCAAAGGTTTTCCTACTTTGATCAAAACGAATTTTCGGCTGATTTCGTTTCGTTTCCCCTTTCTCATAAACAATAGCTCGTAACAAAAAACTGAATTTATTGGACTACGACTGAACACTAAAACTCCAAAATTAGGTCAAGGGAAAACGGATATAATGCCATCGTGGATGAACTCTTGTAATCAAATTCAATTCCTATAAACAAGCAACTGCAGTAACGGGACAAATACAAAGACTGTTTTCAGACCGCTACGTTTATTATTTATCATGTGAGATTATGTATCCACATAATTCTGATTACAAGTACTTCAATCCGGATCAACATATGGTGATCGCCATTGAACTAAATTAATTCTCTATAGCATGAATATAATAGGCAAGGATATATCTAAGTATATGAGCAAGTAGATAAATCAATTGTGACCAAGGCAATTTTTTGGAAGTCTTTTTAGACCATATCAGGTTATTTCTCCAATTTCACTTCAACGCTGAATCCATTCTTGAGATTTTTAAATGCAATTATCTTTCCTTTTCCTGGGGGAGGGGAGGAAGCCAGACGCTTTACTTCAACCCTTGGTTGATAATCGGCAGGAGATCCATGTACGATAACCGCTGAATCAGGGAGGGTTGTTTTCACATCCACCGATAAGGTGACCTCAATTTCCACTTCACGACTTTCTAGTTCATAGAGTTC